TTAATTCATCATACAAATTTATCACTTAACAATTGGCGCTTATAATCATTACCATATATTCGTATTGAAGTTAAGCCGTTTAAAGATTTCGTTTTACTTGCACTTAATAGTAAACACTGAATTAAACTCAATCGCTTTCTTTGAGGAGATCTTTTGACAACATTCTTTTATTATTTGTCCCTTACTTCGCTTGGTTCATTTGTTTGGCGTTCGTCATAACGGTTTATTACATTTTTGAATTTTCTTCCCTTTTTAGAACGCTCTGGTCACGTCCCATCCCTCTGGGCTGGTATTTCAATAATCAATGGCAGCGCAAGCACGGACTGCGTTGGCCTGAGGCGCTTTGCGAGAATTGGATACGAAATGACCGCTATTTGAGGTAGGCCATAAAAAAACTATTTGTTGCTTTTTTGAACGCTCGCCACCACGGCAGCAAAATTAAATGCGAGTTGGAGTAACGAAAATTGCTTGAACCAAAGATTTTGCGTAACAAAAGAAATAATAAAATACCAATGTTACTGTAATAAAAGGTTTCGAGAATTTAGACATTATAAGTACATCTTCATTTCAGAACATTCACTGGGGACTTGCCGCTTTGTCCCTGCACGCTGGAGCAGGCCGTTTATGACAAAGGACGTTACCGACCAGATAAGGAATGTGACAAGGACTCGAATCCGACATGTTTGCGGCATAAAAACGCTATACATTGTGTCGTTAGTGGTAATCCGGTGTAAGCTTACATTTACATACATATATGTATATAAAAAAAACGAAAACAAAAATTATTTGAAATTTCTTCTCTGATAGTGCTGAAGGCGCCGAACAACAGTGTTGCTACGATCGCTATGGTTTCCTGATGTTAACACAGGATCAAGTGTGGGGCTCCCGTCCACGACGTAATCATAATCTTGGTAAAATGCCTTGGAATGAGGCTGGAAAGGTGCCGACGCTCTCTAATTGGTTCCACGACATGCGTCCGTGGTACTCCTGCTGTCATTGGCAGAAGGAGCAGTCTGTGAATTGCGAAACTTTCCGCTTTGAACGTCGGCCTACACAAGACTGCGTCGGCTATCAGGCGCCTGGTGTATCTGGAGTCTTCGGTGATCCACACTTCATTACTTTTGATGGCACGCAATATACCTTTAATGGCTTAGGTGAGTTTGTCTTGTCGCGTAGTGTAGCCGCTGATCGTCGATTCGAGGTGCAGGGACGCTTCGAGCAAGTGCCTAAAAACCAATTTGGCGCCGTGATGGCTACCCAGCTGACCGCTTTGGCGATGCGTGGCAATACAACAACAACCATTGAGGTGCGACTGCGGCCGAAATTCGCTCGTTGGCGCTATGCCTTGGATGTGTTGGCCGATGGGCGGCGTATTTATTTCGATAGGGAAAGCATGCGGTTTCAGCATTTTGATGGTGTCACCGTTTACACACCCACTTATCTCCTGAATCAGTCCCAAGTTGTCGTGATGTTCGATTCAGGCGTAGGCGTGGAAGTTGTTGAGAATGAAGGCTTCATGACGGGACGAGTCTATTTGCCGTGGGATTTCATTGTGAGCACACATTTAATATTTAGAGGTTACGTCTTTAAAAAAAGAATTTTTCGTTTATTTTAGAATAAAACCGCTGGATTATTCGGCAACTGGTCATTTAATCCGTTAGATGATTTTGCGTTACCCGACGGTACTGTGGCCAACTTGAACCTGAACAATTTCCAGCAGATTTACTACGATTTCGGTCTGAAGTGGATGTTGGCTGATCGCAATATTCCGGGTGTAGGTACGGCTCTATTCTCACGTGAAAACGGACGAACTGCAAGCTATTATTCGAATGCTTCATTTGTGCCGAACTTTGTGAAAGAGCCGCAGGACTTCTTGCCCTCGAACCGATCGTATGACGTGGAGCGCGCGGAGGAGTTATGTGGCGAAAGTTATCAGTGTCGCTATGACTACGGCATGACCTTGAATACGGATATGGCGCATTTCACTAAAAATTACTACGACAGTTTAGTGAACATAAGGAATTTAAATTCGAAGTAAGCTTAATGGTTTTCATTTCATTACTTTTCGAAGAGAGGGTTGTTTTTTTTAATAAATAGATGAGAGTCATTTTGATTTAATGTTTTATTACTTTGCAGGCGCATAGTTTCGTGTGGAGTTCTGGAGACTCCTCGCTTTGGACGCAAATTGAGTTTTGACTTCATGCCCGGTGCCAGGATTGCGTTCGAGTGTAATGAGGGCTTCGTACTGATGGGCGATCAGCGTCGTGAGTGCATGGCCAACGGCCTTTGGAATGTACCTGAGTATGGTTACACCTACTGTTTGCGTGAGTACTCTTGCCAACTTCGTTTTGAAAATATTGCCAACACATTCGTAGACTTCGTAATACTTTATATGTATTCTTTGCACAATCGCCTCTTAAATCTAATATAAATATGTTAAAAAAATTTTACTTTCAACAGGTGAGGTATTCTATACACGTCGCGTCGCTTTTATTGCCATCGCCATTATTGTGGGCGTCATATGTCCGCTGATGATATGCATTGTTTGTGGTATTTACCGGTTTCGTCAGAAACAACTCAAGGAAGATCCAGCTTGGCAGATGACTATACCACGCTCGCGTGCTTCGTCGCGTTCCAACTTGCGTCAGCTGAGCGGACCGGACGACGATAGCGATACGGATGCAACAGGCACACTCAAGAAAAGTAGGTCATATGATAAAGTTTATCGTACGAATGAACCACTACCGGGCAAACCCCGTATTGACTTTCCAGCTAAGAAATGGGATCTGGATGACGAGGATGTGACCTCATCCGAAGGTAGTGAAAATAAAGATACAAAAGTAGCTAGCGATATTGAATACGTTAATAAAACAGGTGACAAGCCGCGTCAGATGGGCAGACGGTCGTTGCGCAATAATTCGGGCACCGACCACGATCTACATGAAGAGGACGGCACAGCCATAGAGGAGCCGGGTCAAGCCCATGTGCAAGGACAGGCACCCGATGCGACGGATACAGCGAACCCAGCCGCCTATAATCACCCACCATCGCCCGAGACGGATGAAGAGCCACCGCACAGCACCGGCTTGCATCAGCAGTACAGTCCGACATTTAGTGGCGCCGATAGTCGTAACAGTTCCATGAATTATCAACCGAATGCAGCAACACAGAATCGCTTTGGCGGTGTACCCGTTTTGCCCAATAACACACAGTTCTTCAATCGTCCACCATCGAATATACCGGCGGGTGCAACGTCTTTGCCGATACGCCAAGCGCCAACTGTAACGCCGATACCGAATACGGCCTTGCCACTGACTCAAGATAATGGCTTACCGTCGCCTCCATATGCCGCCTCACCCACACCTTCGGTACAGCGCTCGACCGAGGTTTGAAAGACTTAAAAACCGAATTGGAAAAGTCGCAATTAAATCGCTCTTTGGGTAGAAATTTAATTAAAAAAGTTCATTCATCTACACAATAGTAATTATGTATATCGTAAAATGATCGCCTACTAACACACCATCCTATCCTATCGTCGTTCGCTTAAAAAAAACAGCATACGAGCAAATAACTAGTTATTACCAATACATTTAATTCTGCTTAACTAACAGTCAAGTTAAAATCGCATTCATTCACTCATATTTCCGCCTCATTGCAACCCTGTATATGCCGAATAAGAAGTGTGGTGCAGCGCCATAAATAGTATAGCATCGCCGCCAACCCAGCACTCAGTTTAATACTGTTTTATATTAAAAAATATTTGCACTTTGATTTGGTTGTAATAATTAAAAAATTTAAAAATAAGTAATCAAAATTAAATATAATATACTACTCATTTATTCACAATAAAAACGATAATATCAAATTTCATACTAAGAAACATACATAACATCTATATGTACAAAGCAAATATTACCATTAGTAATGGTCCCGACAATATCGCCATCACAATTTTTTAACTGTTCCAAGTGTTCAGAGTGGTTTGTAAATCGTCCATTTCCGTTTGATAACACCTACCTTTTATATATTTTCTGAGTAAATAAATAGTTAAGTTATTAATAAGTGCCTTGTTTTACTATTCAACACTTGGGTTTATTGCATGCGGATCAAATTGTGGTAAGTTGAACACGAAATTATGGAGTCGTACTAAGGGGCATAGCCAATGATTTTCTGTGTAGATTTGAAATTTCGCGGTGATCCAAAGTCATACAATCGACTTAAATAGAGAAAATTACACACTTGAGTATCAATCTAAATATCTTATTTCGTTCTAATTTTTACAGTTAACCACTATTCAGAGCGGGGTGTTAATAACTGGCTACCTTGTTGTTGCCATAAAAAACAGCCTAACTAGAGGACAGCTACCATCCTTGCCCCGAAATTATTTTGTTCTTAGAATAGGGATCTCTTGAAACTTTTCTAGTAATTTTTATAACAAATCCTGGAAAATATATACATTCATATTTAATTGTTACTACCATCTTATTTGTGTGTTCACTAACCATAAAAGTATGCAGAGTTTTATTTAAAAAAAAAATAAACTCAGAAAATTTAATGAAATGGTTTATGTTTAGATTTTATTAACTCGTAATAGCCGTAATATGCGCCCCACGACCGATGCTAGTAAAATCGTATATCTATATCCAAAATATAGATATACCGTAAATATTCCTTACTCGACATGAGATAGGTAGAACACCGAAGTCTACAATAAGATGCTTGGGTCTCGCCAACTTCACTGAAACCCTAAAGATTTTTATATAAATAATCTGATACCATTTTACAAAAGCACAATTTTCCTGTGTTTTTAATGAATTTGGCCCTTTATTTGTTTATATGATTTTTTATTGGAATTTTTTCTCAAGAATAAAGTTTATTACATTTTCAACTTACAATAATTCCTTATTTATACATTCTCAACTGCAACACTGCATAATTTGCTGTTAGAATACGAGTATTCATTCACTAGAGTTGAAACTTTATTTTTCTTCTCTTTTTTCACATTCATATGCAACTACTGTAAATTCAATACACTTAGTTGGTAATATTTAAAATTCATATTTTCCAGTTTTTATGTTCTGCTTGGCATTTGCAATTGTTGAAATAACACGAAAGTTTTCAGTGGAGAGAAGCAAGACTCGGAGTGTATGGTGAGCAAGCGGAAAGCTCTTAGCAATTAAGACTGCGACAAACTTATCAAAAACTTAAATTAAACGCTTAGAAAGTTCCCTTAACAATTAGGAGAGGGTAAAATGAGTTAGCCGCTGTGAGAGAGAATAATTATTTTAAGCGAGGAGTTGTGTTAACACTCAACAGCAGCAGCGGCTGTCTGATGCGATTCGAATCCGACACTTTTGGGGTTATTCGAATAAATTAAGAATATGGATAGAGTCAATAAAATATAATTGCTTGATCGAAAATGAATTTTAAACAGCATTATTTCTCTTTAACTTTAGTTAGTTGAGTGGTCCATGTATACTAGTATCTTCAGCTGAACTGACTCTTAATATTAAGGTTGTTTTTTTTAACAAAGAGCCGAAAGCATATATTTCTCTCTACCGCTCGAGTCTTTCAACAATATTGTTAGGAAGTTTCTTTAATGCTTATAGCAACGGTGAAAATAACGGGTGTTTTTTTCCGAGGTATAGAACTTTAAGTTGGCATTACTGTTCAAGATGGCGACCGATTTAACAGGTGCCAAGTGATTTATTCTCAGTTTGGTTTGGCAATTCATCATGAATAGACTCACGCCTGAACAACGCTTGCAAATAGTGCAATTTTATTTCGAAAATAATGGCTATGTGCGGAATACATATCGCGCACTATGTTCAAGTGCACCACTAAGTGCGATGAAGTGCACTTCTGGTTGAAGGGCTACGTCCACAAACAAAACTACCGAATTTGGAGTGAAGCTAATCCTCAAGTGTATGTCGAAACACCGTTACATACAGAAAAACTGACTGTTTGGTGCGCTTTATGGGCTGGTGGAATCATTGGTCCGTACTTCTTCAAAAACGATGATGGCCAGAACGTTACAGTCAATGGTGATCGGTGTAGAGCCATAATTACTAACTTTTTCTGGTCTATGCGCATAAGCTACAAACGCTTAACCATTTGGAAGACAAAATTCGCCGTGTTATTGCCGATATACGGTCACAAATGTTGGAAAAAGTCATCGAAAATTGGTCGTCCAGATTGGACTACATCTAAGCCAGCCGTATGCCAGAAATCATATTTAAAATCTAATGCCACAAGATTATCTTTTGGATAAATAAAATGTATGTTAATCGAATAATCCATCGTTGTTTTATTGCAATTTAAAGTTCTATACCTCTAAAAAAACACCCGTTATAAAGGGAGAAAACACCAGAAATCGCCAAAGAAGTGGTTTGAAGGTTATTGTATGAATTATTATTTAAGAATGAAACTGACATAAATCTGCGTCCTTGGTTAATAAAACTGCGTCCTAGTTAATATTATATTTGCCATGCTTACATAGAATTTATTGTTTAATATTTGTATATTGTATTTGCATACATACATTGTATATTGTGTGCGTGTGTGTGTGAGCTAAGTACGAGTATCTGTGTTAGTGTTTAAGTGACAGCTTAAATATCTATAAAGCTATTCTCGTCAGTTGACTAACTTCTTTATATTTCTTTATTAAAGAGTTATGTACTTACGCTTGTACATATGTACATATATATATATATAGTATATAAGTTAGCAGTTGTGTACATTAAAATAGCCTAAAACATTTTGCACATTCATTTTCAATTCTTTCCACCTATATCCAAGTGTGTATGTATGTCAATCAATATTAGCTAGTAGAATTGCTTAAGTTGCCTAGAACTAAGTACTTCCGAGCTCACGAGTTCACACTCAAGCCGGAACTTTATATTCGCAATATGTGTGGTCTTCAGTTTCAATATATTTATTTTCATTTATTTTAAACAAATACGTATGGTAACATCTTGTATACTCTTTTGCACATGCTCGCTTTAAGTGTCTAATAACGATTACGTGAGTTGTTGGTGTGCTTTAGCGTTCTTAAGTGGGTTAGTGTTTGTGTGAGCTTTCTATAATAATAAACATTTTCATTTTTTTATTTTTTATTTTTCTTCTTCATAGAATAGTTTCAATTAGAATATTTGCTTTAATAGATTGCGTTTGGAAAAGGTTTACAATTATCTACATACCATATATATACGAGTGTTTCTTGGCTTATAGTTTATCTACTGCATTTGCTTAGAACTACATTTTAGTTAAAGATTCTTCAAATCTACGATTTCTGCGATTATAATATCCTTTGTGCTGGTTAGCTCTTTGTTATGAAGAAACCTTTTGGAACAGATATCATACCCGTTGTGTTTAGAAAAAGAAACATGAAGACAATTCATGAGAGGAGGATTAACAAAGTTGTCTATTAATTTATGTAACAAATAATACTAGTGACTCATCTATACATAAAAATGAGCTTTTGTTTTCTCCTGAACTCACTTTAGAAGGCAGTTGGTTGCAAGTGTTTATAATAACAGTACATTATGCTAGGTTCGCGTGTAACATATTACCATATAAATGTGTGTATTTAATTTTTGAACAAACATAAAGGCATTTATTTAACTTATTTATTCTTTTTAGAAATCACCTTAGGAGTAATGTCTTTGATTTTCTTCTGGTAGCTCCCATGTGCGGCGATTCGAGCCTAAAGTACCAGAGTAAGATGAGAGAGTTGTAAGGTGGAAATGTGTAAGGTGGAAATGTGTAAGGTGGCATCCACTCCGTCTGTAAATAAAAGAAATGAACAAATAAAATAGATTGAGTTGAGGATTCTGTTTTGTATTATATATATAAACACTAATTATATATATAATATAAATACTAACTGCCCTTCAAATTTTTTTTTATATATTACATACACCGCCTGGTTATTGATACAAAATCTTCGAGATAACTTCAGCTGACTGAAGTTTGTTAATTATGAGGTTACAGACTTCATTTGTGTTTTGCGCTCGTGTTATAGTCAAATAGTAACTTAGTAGCTCTTGCTCAAAAAGAGCGGTCAAAGATCAACTTGTAATAAAAATAAACTGTATCATCTTAACTTATATTATTGGTCATAGATTCTCCTAAAATTATCTTAAAATCATCTTCAAATGATATACATATGATATCAACTCAGCCGAAGAGCCTAAATATAATATATTGAGTTGATGTGAAAAACGTCAACCAAAGGATCGAAATTCATAAAATTACGCATATGAAGTTTAGAACAAGATATAAACCAATTCCATTCAGCGCTAAACCACGTAATTTTTAAGAAAGCTTGTCTACTTAATTTCATTAAAATATTACATATTACATATTATAACATAAAGACAGTTGAGAAGTAGGAAATCCCTATATAGGGTATATTAGGGCCATTAAAGATCTGGGCTGCCCATCTATAAACTTGTTCTCCCTTTTTTTACCAAGGAACACGTGTACCAAGTTTCCTCAATATATCTCAATTTTGACTCAAGTTACAGCTTGCACAGACAGACGGACGCAGGGACATTCACTCGAATTTCAATTCGTCTCGTCACCCTGATCATTTACTCGTATATATATACAAGTATAACTGCATATCTATATCGATTAGCTTTAGGAGATACAAACAACAATTAGGTGAACAAAACTATTATACTCTGTGTAACATCTTGCAAGAGCATAAAAACAGACGTGAGTGTGCAAAGGTTGTTATAGATGGGAATTAGAGCGGCTTAAAATTATCAAACCATCAATCAAACTTTGGCAAAGCCAAAACTTGATTTTCTAAGCAGCTGCAACAAGTTCCAATGATACACAACCAGAAGGCACCTGCTTAAGTTCGTCAAATACGAGTAGAATGCCAAAAACGGGGCTATGCAAAATATGTACCTGGTAACTCTCATGTGCAATACGTAAGTGCGAACAAAAAGGCAAGACGCTTGCTAATAACTTTTCCAAACAGAAAAGCTTTCACACAATTTCCAGGCACAAGGTGAGTCTGCAATACCATGGCAAGGCCAGATATTTGCTAGTGTGTCGTTAGATCGTTGGTTCAAATAAAAGCTGACTACAGTGACAGCCATTAGTATATAAACTATCTATCGCCTTGTGTTGAATATATGTATGTATATCGATTATTGTTTTCGAGAGAGTATACTAGTTATGATTAGATTGTTTTACCGAGTTGTTTGTATAACCGAAAACTAATTGAGATATCTATCGAGTTATATACAAGTATATATACATCATCAGGATGCCTATCTCTTCGTTCTTTAAGTTGGAAAATACTAAAAGTACGATAACTTACTGAATAAATGGGCCACAAGTATTAAATATTAAAACCAAGATGGTAGGGATGCGCATTACAGATTCGGGTGTAAAAATTAGACAACGCCTTTCTTTCCATATAACAAACTTTTCAATTCCACCTGATTATTTCACTTTACAGTACCATATATAAATCAAACATTAAGAAAGAATCTCTTTTTAATAACATGGATGAAGTCAGTTCAATACTTCACCTAGTTTAATATAAAGTTTTGATAACACCTGAAGGTGATCCTTTGGTCCATTCATTTTGTGAGTGTCGATTACACCCGAACTTAGCCCAACCTTACTTGTTGTTATATTAATTTATAACATATGTATGAGTGTATGAACATATTAAATTGTTAAATTCGATTTATTGGTGTCTGTAGAAAATGAAAGAATTTCTGAAATACTGAATCTATTTCGAAAACTTAAACTCGGTTCTCATTTTAAATTGGTGCCATGGAAACAATTTGAATCTTAAAAGAAATTATTTTCAGATACTAAAGCTTGAAGTCTTCAACGAACTGCCCTAAAAGTCCAACAATTTCTGAAGGTGGCTTAAGAGTAGTGCGATCTTCCACCTTTAAGAGGAGAGGAAAGCTTATATTAAAATATATACTGAAATACAAATTCTGTGTTTTTCTTTATTTGAAATGCTCAGTTAATGCCCTAAGACGATTCTTAAGGTAAGAGCAGCATTATAAAAGAATTATGCCTGACTGAATATGTGATAGTTCAGACAGGCAATTCTGCCATTTGTGCAAATCCAGCCAACTAATTTGTATGCTGCGCTCATAATATACATTACGATACATGGTTGGATGAAGCTAATGAGCATGCAGACCATCATTAACAAATATGGGGTGGGTGTGATTGTCTGTACTCCCACTCACACTCTAAAAGCTTATCGCATTTCCATGCAGGTCATACGTCACATCAGCAACCTCAATGACATCTTTAACTTGTTGGATGGAAAAAATCGTTAAGTTCTAACATAAATTACAATAATAATTGCAACCACAAGGTTTTTGTCATTTTCAGCATTATGTGGCAGCGCAGCTTAGTAGGCTAGATAATCCACAGTTTCCGCATCCATTTCCTTTTCTTTCGGTATATCTCGTTTTTTGACAAACCAAGCGTTAACGATTTTATTATCATTAACTGTCATCAGCAGAGTTGGCCAAGCATCGCCGCCATTCGCTGTGCTGAATGTGCCGCTGATGTGTATGGGTGCGAGTAGTCTCTACCTCCATCAACTGTCATCAACAGTTATGGTTGATGTCTAGGTTTCTTTGAGTTACATAATTCTGTTTTTGGCTCGTTTTGTATGCAAACAGCTTTCAGCTACATCAGGATTCACGAATATTGTATATTGCACTCCATCATTGTTTGCTTTTATTGTAGAATAAAAATAACAAATATTTCAGTTTCGATTTCTGATCTATGACGAGCGAATATAACTTTGGAAAAAAAAATAACGTTGGCTTTACTCATCTTTAAAATCTATTAGTTAAAAACATTAATATTTTACTCGAATCACTTTAATATAACATCTCGTATATATTTGAGGCTCTGTGTTCCACCTAGGAACTCTTGGAAAATATATATACATATACTTGTATTTCATGAGCATCTATCTAGATTTAGATGTTTCTTATAACCTAAAATTGCTACGTTACGCTAGAAGGTAAAGAAAGTACCTGTCCTAAGTGCACTGCTTTATATATGTGAAAACAGGTATATAAATGACAGGTAAAGGGTTCAGAAATTGTATAACATCGTAAATATACATTTTGTTCTTGAAATAATGAAACATTTTAATTTCTTTTGTGTTTGTTTACGTTTATTTTTTACCTGTTGTTCGAAAATTGCGTATTTTCAAGGTTGTTTTAAATGTATCTTTCGTTCGCGTTCTTATGTTTTTTTCCGCTGGGTTACCTTAAAAAGTATAAAAACCTTGATGATCGACAAGTTATCGTCATTATAAAATAAATGTTACAGCGATATATATTAGAACCCGCTATTAATATAATACTTTCCGGTGTTTCCAAGTTTCACCCTTTATCTCTACAGTCAAACAACTGGCAGCGATAAGAAAGCAAAGATGTGCATTGAAACAGGAGATAATCTCGACTACCTGTCCTATCGCTATAATGGTAGAGGAGGTGCGGCCGAAAATTCCTACGAAGATGATAGTCAAGAAGACATCTGCGTTATGAATGCGTGTTCATGTAAAATTTGTTTCAACTGCTACACAGAGATTATGTTTAAGCAAAGGAAAACCGACGCAGAGAAACTAGTAGAGGAGCTTCTGGGTTTTAGTACACAAGTTACAAGCGAGGAAACAAGAAGTGCTGAAATAACACTTGATATTAAACAAGAAGGGGACCTGCAGGCGGAATCAGACTGTGAGTCGTTGGTAAATCATTTTGTGAACTTAAGAATATCTTCACCCAATTACAAAATGTATTCGACAAGTGAATTCGTAACAGATCAACTACACAAGTCAAACGCTCGAGAACAGTCCGTCCGGCATGCAGTCTCCAGTGATGACAATTTAGAAGCATACTCAGAATACGTACAGAACGGTGTGAGCTATAGAGATATTATTAGAAGTCATTTGATATATTACGATTTTGGTGAACTCGATGAATATTTGCGGAATTATGAAACAGAACTGCGACTTATGGCTTTGAGTAAGAAAATAAGAGCATCTATTCAATCTATTGACAACGAAAAGCATATATATAATTCCAAATTTGACTTGGAGTTTGGCACAACCATGGATTGGCATTCATGGGAAGGTTTTGAATGGAACCAAAGTTTCGATTTCATTGCTATTAAGTGCAGCGAGAGTGAATTTACAAAAAATTTGAACGAAAGCTCCTCCGAAGTCTACGAATTTTGTAAAAATAATGAATATTGCAAATGGGCCAACCGCTACGATTCGGATTATTCAAATATATCGTATAATTCACTTCGAAAAAAGTTATCATTAAAACGAGAATTTGATAAACTACAATATTCCGTTAGCACAACGCCCGACAGTTCAACGTCAGAATCGAGTGTTTGGAGTGATAGCTTTAATTTCGATGATTTACATGAATCTGATGAGCAATACCAAGCAGATGTATCGTCCAGCTTTGATGACTCTGAAACCGCTGACTTAATGTGTGAGAAAACCCAATGTAATCCACGGCATAAGATGAAAACCTCGACAGAATTTCCTAAAGGTGTTTTGCTTTTCAACGGACTCAGTGAACAAGAAAAGTATAAGAAGAAGTTAGACGTAATACAACGAAGAAGGATCGGTGTTGTTTCAAGAGTAGGGAGCAACACTTCCTCCTGCTCTGATTCAGACTGTTCCGAAAAAGTTGCTGTCAGGCATAGACAAAAGGAGCAGTGGAGGGACAAAGTTCACTTCGAGGAAGTTAAAGTCTCTTACAATGTAGAATCCAGTCTATCTCATGAGCAACTCTGGACCATTTGTTATGATTTAGATATTTATACAATGCCACGTAAATGGAAAAGAAGCCTGCGACAGGCACAAAGAGGGGCTCGGCAGCAAATCCGCCAATATTTCGAAGAACTTAAATCCAAATTTGGCACTGAATTGAACATATCAGCCGCTATATCTAATAACTGGCAAACGAAATATGATTTTCTAGATTATGATTGCACTTGGCTGTACGACGATCAACATCAGCCTGATTTGTCGACAAGTTCTGATGAAACATTAACATGCATTTCATCCTGCTCAGACGTCGATGAACACGCGTATAACACGAACCCAGAAAGCATTGTTAAACCTAGGAGAACACTGTTTCCTTATTTCGAGGCTAAACTCAATTCAAAGGCGAAGCGAGGCACTCAAATAGCAGAATATACTCAATTAAAGCAGTTTGATTCGGATGAAAGCTTTGAGTTTTATGGTAGATCAAAACCGATTTGGTGTGCGTAACCAGCTTTTGTTAAACATATTAATAAAAAATCTTTTTGTATTAAAAATATGAGTTTTGGATATTTAGGTAAAAGCTATAAATACGATTATATACCTATATGTGTAAGTAAATTTTTAAAGGTTAAGCTTGAGTGCAGCAAGCTGTGGAGATATTCGAAGGGATTTCCTTATCCAAACGTTTTAATTATTAAACATAAATATTGAAGATGTATACATTTTATAAAAGTAGAATTAATAAATGTGTAAAATTATTTTTTTTTTGATAAACATATGGGTGAATTAAAACATATCCAGTTGAAAATAATTTCATTTCAGAAGATAATGAATATTAAGGAAAAATAGGTTTTCTTTTTTGGTTTTCACGTCACTATGAAGATTTTCACATATAAGAGGCTCCGATTTATATTTCCATACTATCCCAAAATGATGCAAATTATTTGCTATTTTGTACTCTGTATGATGGAATATTTGATTTTGATGGTTTTGGACGCCATAATGTGCACATATAATTTCATTGCTACACCGTTTTGTTTCAATTATAATATAGCAGTTTTACTACTGTGTATCTCCTATTACTTGATTTAAAATAGTCGTCTTCGATTCGTCGAGTACTGGAGAGGAGCGATTCAAACGAACTTTACGAGTTGTTCAAACAAACTGACATCAATTGCAAAGTAATTTTGCACAATTATTTCTTCTGACGCACACGCATATTTTTTTGGTGAAGACACGTTCTCTTCGGGCCAAAAACATTTGATTATTCAGTGTTAAGCATATTTTATTTAAAGTTTTAGGGTTTTATAATCAATAAAATAAACGTTGTATTTTAATTTCTGACAACAATTTATCCGTTGAGCAATTCACAATGGTAAAACTGGAATAAATTGTGTGAAACAAAACTTGGTAGCACTGATAATACCAATTATAAAACATTTAGGAGAAATTCGCATACTATCATGTATGAATTCAACGCGATAACTTTGTTGTTGGTTTATATGTAATTTTGTTGGAAAGAGAGGAGCGCCCAAAGATAGAAAACGGCCATTATAGTAAAATAACGGTTGTGAGTGGATAATATTTTAAACATTTTCTTTGATTCATTTCTAACCAGGAATTCCATTAAATATGGTGTGACAATATAAAAGAAACTGCAGAAATGTGTCTCTGAATCCTTTAGGCATTCGGTCACTGGGTGATTTTAATTAAAAAATACACTGTTTAGGCTAATGTTCCAAGTTAAATTTAGCCTTTTCATTAAGTTCGCTTTTGTTCAACTACAGCAATGGTTTTACTTTGTTCTATTTCAGCTTATTTCAGTTTAATGACCATCGTTTTCATATTCCTTTTGTGGTTCACTGGTTTTTTATATGATCTGCTGCGAACATAATCCCTTTGATTTATGAATCTCTATTGTACTTGTTTTGATTTCATTAATTTATCTTATGCAGTTTTTTTATTTGTTTCCGCCAATGATTAATATACATTAACTATAAATACTGTTGTTGCACATATTTGAGGTTGAATGTCCAATGTAATTAAGTTTTACTGCATTCGATAATATTGTGTGACATTTATGTAGGGCAGATTGTATCGGGAGAATTTCATAACATTTTTCGGTAATTGCCCATCCAAATATTCTGGGTAAGTAATTCTAGAGACTCCATGAGTGTTTCTTACTTGTTTGGAACCATCACATATGTATACGAGTATGTTAAGGGGTAACAGCGCTTCGCAAGTATATGGTGTTCATTGCATTTTTGATATTCTGAATTGTTCAAATAAAATATATGATTAATATATTATATTATATTAAAAAAATAGTAAAAATTGTCTTTTTTGGAAGGTCTGAAATCCACCTAACTCCTAAATATCTGAACGTTCATCACAAATAGGAGGAGAATATCCGCAAGAAAAGCATTGCGTTGTATAAATACCATATATCAATGCCATTAAATAGAGGCGAAAAAATTAATCAAGATCGAAAAATTTACTCTCTGGAACTGAAGTTAAAAAGGATTATAAAAAAGAGAGTTGATATCTATAAGATATTTTAAATATATTACATTTCGGATTCGGCTTTGTCCTCATCTGAGCACTAATATGTTTAGCTGTAAGGTGACAAGTGGGAGCATTAACATAAATTACCTTTAATGTGCTGTGGAAATTCAGCGCTTCACACCCCTCAGGCGCCAGCAGCATTTCAATCTAAACTGATGTAATTCAAACCAATCCAATCTAATCTGTACCGTGCTCACTTCATGTGCTAGCCGCATTTTCACTCTTCTCCGTACTTAAAGTATGTTTCAGCAGCAGCATGACGAGTCGTTGCACATTTCCTATGTCAATTCAGCAGGTAGCGCAGCAGCTGGCACATCAATGTTGGTGTCTGTTCCGGCGGATGCGACGCCGCCACTTGCCACAGTAACGGCCGAGGAGGACGATGATGAGGCCGGCGATGTGGGCGAGAAAGTGTTTGTGTGTGGCGTTGCCAGAGGTGCTTGTCTAGTTGCAGCACCATCATCTGTTGTGCATAATGACTGCGTAGCCGCTGCCACAGTTGCGGCAGATGATTCGCTTATGCTGCAAACGGTCCCTGCTGCGTTGTTGCTATTGGCTTTCGGATTTGTTGCCATCGATGATGGAGGTGGCGTGCTCGGTGGCAATGAAGAGTCGGTAACGCTATCGCTTGTTGCTGTCGCCGAAGTGTTGCGTGTTAGGAACCAACAATCCATCGGTGTCGGCTTACCTTTCATTACGACTGGGCCACGGTATTCGAGATTGAATGAATCATCATGGTTAATCTCATGGCAGAGCAATCTGTAAATGTGGAAGCAGAATGGGATAGATGAGATATTAGATGGATTCATTGACAGCTGCAGAGATTGTGATTGAGTAATGTAAATGCTTATGCCTTCAAATTAAACCACAGCTAAAAAGCCAAGATACATGAAAGGAGCTTTTGTGCTTTGTTTCTTACCTCATATTAAACCATTCGCTATAAATTTGTATTACAACGTATTTACTAATAAGGAAGTTAGAGGTGGCAGCAGCAGCCACTGGTTAAATGTGTTATGAATGCCACTTTAGATATTCATTTGAAAGCTGTTCGGTTTGCCCCAGCAGAGCTTAATAATTTTACGAATTTATATATACACAAGTATGTGCATTTCTGGGCTGTAACTATAACACCGATGTCATCATTATTTGAGTAATTTCATACATATTTATGTATGCAAACACGGTTTAATAGTCACTTTGCCTATTTGCACTAATGTATGCCGCTGCTTATCAACCTAACCAGATTTAGAGCATTCGCAGCTTGCGGCACTGGAGTGCCTCGAAGAGTTACGTGTGGTCCACACACACACACACTCATTCACTAGCTAAGTAAAGAAGCATCTCGACAGGCAATTAAAGATTGCTAAAAATTAAACATCTATATTGCTAGCAACACTGTCAATGGATACTACACATTGCTAATGTTTCGCAATTGCTCATATTTAATTGTTGAATTAAAATAGAATGGGAAAATGAGACTTCCAAAATATACATTGACATTGCCAAAAATGTTTGTCATTCTCATAAAATTTTTAAACGGTTCAAGAGCTCAAACATGCGCTATATCAGCTCGAACATACCTACGCGACGCCATTTTGAGAATGAATATGGTATTTCATGATAGCAAATGCCCACATAAGAACATTACCAACCTCAATGGCAATGTATTTGACAGATGGTTAGCAATGTACATTGCCTGTGGAGATGCGGCGTAATGCATGAAACATGTCCTTGCTGATAAGACGATTTATTCAGCTACACGCTTCGATGGTTTCAGCATTTTCTGCTCTGCCACTCTGCTCCAACAGAGTTCACCTTAGAGATTTGTAAATTGGTTGGAACAGGCAAAAGCTTTTGGGTTGCAATGAAATCAATGGCGTTAATGTGGATTAGGCAGTGGAGCTTTGGGAACAATGGGACTCTTGCTAGAGGGACCGTTGCTTTAGAGAAATATTTGATATTTCAATATCCGTTTGTCGCCAAAAATCAATATTTATAAATAAAATCATGTGACCACTTTGAAATAAATAAAGATCTCCAGTTTTGAAAATGCTAAGCATTTAGTTGACGGACATTGCTTGGTTAGCTACCGACTAAATCGGAAAGAGGAATGAATACAAGTATATTAAATTTTTTTCCCTTAGGTGTATTTATGATTGAGTTCCATAATTCGTTAAGATCATAATGTATCTTACTTATAGAGCTAATCGATATTCATACTTAAAATACTTCAAGCATTTCAACTTTTCTGTTTTTAAAATAAGTAATTTACAACATCGTTCAAGCAGCACTGTTAAAATTCTGATAATCCAGGTCTGTTCTAACAATTCTGGTAAATCAATAAAGAAGATTTGGGAAATTCTTCGCTGATTGCATAACCTGCTCTTCCTTATAATCTCACTGGTGCCGTTTTCCAAAGGTATAGGTAGAAAAAAATGTTTCCCAGGCATAATGCTTTGGAATTCCCAAATATATTGGTAAAACCTGTACGGGAGAAATCACTATGGGAAATTGTTTCAAAGGGGAAAATTTATGTATTTTAAAAATCATATTTTTTAACAAAGTCCATTATTAAAGAAAAATGAGCGTGGCCTTCGGGAAACCAATAACGTGTTAACGGAATCAAAAGTGAAAAAATGTGAATTTTTTGGCATATTATTGTAAAAGCCATATCATTACTCTGTGCTGCAGCTTAATCGTGCGTGAAAAGCAAACAGATATCTCCAGAAATTGTAGGAACTTTTGTTTTTGTGCACGTCTACCTGCTCACCTGAGATACACATATTTATATATATGTTTTTCGGTAAAGTGCACCTTATCTACATAATTTCTACTATAAATTGACTGATCATTCTCCAGTCGAGGTATTCTCAAAATTCGATCAACTTGGAGCAGACCGGAAGATCTTCAGCGTTTACGTTTTACCTCTAAACAAACATCTCAATAAAATGCCTTACGTAAATGATTTTGAGTGCGTAAATATTCCCAAAAGTGAAGATGCGAAGGAGGGATCTGCCACGACACCGCCGCTACCTCCACCACCTTCAAACCAACCTCTATTAATATATGCTCCACAACACGCAGGACCATCGAGATTGCATCAAATTGGTGCCGTTGCTGCTGCTTTTGTTATGGGAAACGGAGGCGAAGGCGTTGAAAGCGATTCGGAGGATAGTGATAATTCTGAAGGTTCTATTTGTACTTATTGCTGTGTTAATGTGCCGTTTCGTATTCGAAGAGCCTCCACTCCGGCTGCAATTGGAGGGAATAGTATGATTGACGCGGCGGACGATGCAATGGATGCTGTACTGGCTCAGCGCTTAGCGAGAGCTGAGAATTTGTTATTGTAGGCAAACGTTTGAGCAAATATGGACTGTTGTTGTTGATGATAAAATTTGGTTGTAAACTTTTCTTGATTATAATAAAATAAATATAATAACGAATTGAACTGTCTATTTTATTTAAGTGTGCTCGAATGAGCTGGCATTCAGGTAAACCGACACCTATCTATATAGAGTAGTTCTCGTTTTTGCTTGAATCTAGCCAAAGAAGGCAAGATTATTTAGAATTTGAATAATAATTTAATTTTCATTGAAAACTGTTAAACAGTTTTTGGTGAATGAAATTTTTTAATTGAAGGGACGATAACTATTTGATTTGATGTTCTGCTTTTTGATGGAACATAAAACTATTTTTCCAGGTTGGACGTAAGTTCATCTTTAAGATACTGATTTCTGAGAAGAACACTGCAGTGGTGTTAGAAGATTTTAATTTATGTTTATTTTTAACTCTCCACTGTATGAATGAATCGAAAATTAATTCGGTGGTATGTGGATTATTTAACTTTAAAATGGATAACTAATGAAGTTCTAAAAATTGTTGAAATCGAAATATACCACTTCTTATCCCCAGATGGTAGGGATTTCTTGGAATTTCTACTCCCTTTAGGAAGTGTGGGGGAATTAATATGTTAAATGAGCATCTTGAGTGATCTGTGGCTAAAGTGGATTAATCGTACCTTTGGATTTGCGTAGATATTAATTAGAAGTAGTTAAAATTGGATGAAATTTATACTTAAGTATATTAGTGAATCAATTTCGAACTTTTGCTTGTACACCTTCCAACAATACTAACACGATTAACATTTCAAAGGTAAAGACAGGGAAAGTAAACCTTTAATATTAGTTAATTCCTAAAAACGTCGGGAAGTTCTTTTTTAAAGACAGACGAATTAAAATTATATGATTCAGAATCTCCCACAAAGTTTTATTAACTAAGAACCCGAACTAAATTTTCTCGTTTCAAACAAATCTTTGTTAATTCGACTACAGATTTTTATTGATTACTCAGGCAAGTTCTATGAATTTGACTTATAGACTAGTTATTTCAATACTTAAACTTATATATATGTCTACTTGATATTGAACACGTTCTCTATCCGTCAATGGCATATCGATCGATTCGCCATACGTCGTGACCAAATCTTTCTTACGGCTGATTTGGCCACTTCAGATAGTTTCTGTCCTTCGAGCGCGGCTGGTAGCGATGATCGACGCATCCGAAACGGTAAGCTGAAAGTGACAAAATCGGAGTCGTCGATGTCACTGTCTGTGTTGCTGTTGCTGTAACCAGAATCGAATTCGGAATTTGAGTCACTGTCGTCGTCTCTATCATGAGCCGCTGCAGCAGCGGCCAGTGCGGCAAGTCTTTGCAATGCCGATGGTTCTCCAGGATTCAGTGGAGTAATTTCGTACGGTTGAGTTGGTAATATGGCAACACGAGCTTGATTGTTGGCGATTTTTGCAACTTCAGTCATTGTTATTGAGTTGTTATAAGATTATTTGGTTAATTAAGCTTTCATTTTTTGTACATGGAATTGATTTGTTGATCCTTCTTTGAGTAACGTTCACTTATGTATGTGCAAAAAGACGCGGTGGTTGTGCGAATGTGCCACTTTGCTGAAATTTGCCTAATTTATATCGTAAAGGAATAGTCAGCGCTACACACTTCTCCCTGGAAAGATAATGAGGAAATCTAGCACAAAACAAGCGCCACAGAAGGCAGGTAACGAATTTCCCAGAAGTTTTAGGAAGTCTATTTTAGTAGTCTGTGGATTAAAAGTGATTGATGACCGCTGAAGTGAATTGCAAAAGTTTCGGATGCCATTGTTATGATATTGTACCCTTTTTGGACAATGTTTTATTTTTACATAATTTACTTTGGTTATTGTTGTGATCTCAAGAATATTCAAGGGCTTAACCGTTTTTAACAGTTGAAGGCGTGGCGAAAAGAATGTAAAAGTTTTTTCCGTCACAGGATTAGAACGGCATAATGCATTCATTAATTTTGTTGTTGAAATATTTGAAATTGTCATTAAAGAAGCCGTAAATATTTTGAAAATATCTGGCTTGAATAAGAATTATTGGAGAAGTAGGTGGGTAGTGTTTATAATATAACATAATATTTACACAGTTTTTCGTTCATTTGAATTATACCTGGTACCTGGTTTCATTAAACGAAATATCAACTTTAACTGTTACTAATGTTGATTAACTGTCTTCTATGGAATTAGCCCTTGTACGAATTTGTTAATGAATGAAAACGCTTTTAGAATAAAAGAATTTTTTAGTAGTAATACATTTTTGCTAGCCAGGATCTCGTGTTACCTCATAGCTACATTTTTAGTAAACTCTGAACTATTTCCAAAATCATAGTCTTTGAATCACTTTTGTAGGCAAGAGGATTTTTACTTTTTAATTTCTTTTATTTGTTTTTTCTTTATTAAAAAAACTTTAACTTCGGCTGTACCGAAGGCTAAAATATTCTTCACAAATAAAAAAGTTTCCATTCATGAATGATTTTGATCGATCGGTTTGTATGGCAGCTATATGCTATAGTGGTCCGATCTGTAAAGTTTATTCGGATATAGTAGCATTGCCTTGGTTAATAATCCATGAGACATTTAATGTTTTACTTTTAAGAACTTGATTTTGATTGTTCAGTTTATATGGCAGCCTAATGCTATAGTGATGCGATCTAGCAATTTTTTTCGAATGCAGGTATTGCCTTGGATAGTAACCCATGTCAAATTTTGTGAAGATAAATTGTCATATATAAATATTTTCCACATAAAGTCTTTGATTTTGATTATTCAGTTTGTATGTTAGCTACAAGCCATAGTGATCTGATAACGGCGGTTCCGACAAGTAAACAGTTTCTAGAGGAGAAAATGACGTGTTCCAAATACGTTATCTCATATAGCGTATCTCAAAAACTGACGGACCAGTTCGCATATACCTATAGAGATAGACGATCATGGCTAAATCAACTCAGCTCGTTATGCTGATCATATATATATGTATATATTTTATAGGGTCCTCAACGTTTCCTTTTGGGTGTTATAAATTTTCTGGCACCGTATAATATACCCGTACTTTCCGAACATTTTATACTCTCACAATTTTTAAGGATCAAAGAAGGGGAAATATTTTGACATGTTGGTAAAACTTTGTTGTTTGTTGTATGTATGTTTGTAACACCCAAAAGGAAACGTCGGATACTCTAAAAGATATCAGGTACAGATTGTATTGTGTTTTCTCATTTCACTTCTAATAATACCCGTATATAAAACAAATTGTGGGTTGTCAACATTATTTGTCTTTAATATAATACAACTAATTTAAAACAAGTACATAGAATTGACAAAATCTTAATTAAATAATTATTTGAAAAAATTTTCAATTTTTATAAATGATTCTGCACAATTTTCATTAAATAATTCTTAAAGCATTACGGTAAATTCCATACAATAAACCAACAATAAATATTTAAAAAATATACATTGCATATTTATCCCCTCACTAAGTGGTTTTAAAGTAGGGGGTACTCTATAAATACATGGATCGACGTGCCATGCGTTGCGTCCATAACTTCCTCATGGCAGCAGTTGCGGCCTCAGTTACTTTCTGGCCTTCAATTACAGCTGGCAAGGATACCCTACGGGTCCGGAAGGGTATGTCTATGCTAAAATAGTCACTGTCATCCGATTCTGTGTCGCTTTCGTCATAATCACTATCGCTGAAGCCGCTCCGGTCCTCAGCTGCGATGGCTGCGGCGAGATCGGCCAGACGTTGCAGCGCTCCACCTGGTCTTGGAAAATCGATGATGTTAAGATTACTAGGCATTATGGTGACCGCTTTAATTTCGTTTCCTTTCAATTCCGTAATATTAGTCATTATTTTTATTATAGTGAATTTCTCACTTTTAGTTAACCAAAATTCGACAGTTTTAAATTCGGAAAAGTTGTTTGGTACTGTACGAACTGCGATACTTTGACGATTGTGCTGTTATGCAATTTACCAGCTTAATTTATACCATAGCGCGAGCGCTGAGTTTTAAAATTTTCGTTGCAAGTACTTGCATTGGTTAGGTAGGCGTGAGCAAGGTAGCTGATGAAACAGTTTCAGCTCAACAGGTATACTACATGGGTTCAAGCCACTAAAATAAATCTTTTTGAGCATTTTTTACGCGACGTTCTAATGTGTACGCTTTAAAGAGCTTATTACCTGTTGTGAAAGAATCATTGTTTAAGACACTTCTTCATAATCCTCATATGAACAGAGATAAAAAAATTGAGCAAAAAACATTTCGATTGTAACTGAAACTGCAAGCATTGATAATAAGTAAAGTATATTTTTGGCCAGTTCTCTTTGCTTAAATCATTTTTAAATTTTGGATTATGAAAGGACAAACGATTTTCTTGACGTAATTTATAAGAACAACATACATACTTGTACACATATGTAAGCAATGCTTTCCATTTACACCCCCAATTGTTGAGCATTCATGAACTTGTCGGTCAAATTTACGTGTATATGAAGGCGGCAACAACAACATATATTCCGATTTTATGGCTATCCAAATCACGAAAATTACTAACCTACATAACTCTATCGTTTATTCTATATCGTTTTGGTAAACCTGAAAAGTTTTTCTTCAATTCGTCCGAAGTTTGTGTGTGCTCACAGCGAACAATTATTTGAGGAGTTGTCGAAGAAATTTGCGCTCTCATTTATGTAGCAGATTAGCAAGCCATATAATTTTGACAGCAGTAATCGGTGGCTTCCAACTTACTTTCGCTTTGCTAGTAAAGGCGGGCGAATTAAATAGCGGAAAAGTATCGAAAATAAATAAGGTATAAACTAAAAGTATTGAATTAAACAAAAAAAATTATTTTAATTTATTTATTTAATTACGTGTGCAAAGTTGTTGTGAAAGCAATGGAAATACTTTGAAAATGTTCGCTAAGTGCCAACAGTACATTCAAAATGTACTTTCGGTATGGAGTTATATACAAAAGAGTCCTATAATTTCGATCTCTTAGTACTTTGGAAACTGTAAATATGAGTAGTTCTAATTGTATTTTGCGAAATTAAAATTCGGTTATGCAGATATTCGGGACCGTTTTTGCTTAGATTGATTTGTTTATACTATTTGGCTTTTCTTATTTCATTACTGTCGGCATTGCCAGCTGAGAAAGTCAAACAGATGTGAATACAGTGAAAGAGCATAAAAAGGGGAGAGTGGAGAGATTTAGCGTGAACCTGAACAAAAGAGATTGCGACGCTTAGGAGAAAGCTGAAGAAACTTGTTGCTTTGTATTTTGAGAGCGAGCGATAAATCTCTAAAATATTTGTAAATATTTTGAAAAAAGATAAAAAGGAAAAAGAAATTGATTGTTAAATTAATGTGATTAAAAAGTGATAATTGTGAGCGGGGTGGAGCGGTTGTGTTCGAAATGAAAAACAATTTTTTAAATATTAAATAACGTTCTCAAATCTTTATCTATTCTTATAATTACTACTTTGCGAAAGTCGTGTAAAAATGACCCCATTAAATTAAGGATTTTTCTGTAACGGCCATAGCAGCATGAGTATAAATGACATTAAAACAGCAGACATAATCGGTTTTGGTACTTTTATTACTTAAATATTCCTCTTTTTTGATACTCCTCACTATGTTGTGGTTCACCAGAGGTACTCCACTCGACCACTTAAAAACTCTATCTTAATCCATTTTTGTATACCATATACATACCCAAAGGTATTATCTCAAAGCCACAATAACACATAAATAACTAAGAGACTTTTGCTACATTTGTTTCGGTGTTGTTGCGCTCTATCGCTTGAGCTTTCACAGAGAAAAGCTTTCGGCGCTCCGCCTGGAAGCATGCTTGTACTTTCCGGCAGTCGGTCAGTTGAACTTGACTATTCATGCATTGTGGAGGGTCAGGTGCGCGCAATTGTGTCATAAGGCGGAAAGTGAATGTGACGATTGTATGTGGTACTTCGGGAAGAAAGTAAAAGCAGGATTACGAAAGTAGCAAAGGCGCAAAGTTAAAAGTTGAGAAGGAGTGCAATTTGCACATACTAAGGAGTAATCATTCCTACAGGAGAACACTACATCTATGCTTTGGGTACATATTTTTCTTTGTTGAATGAGCACGCACTTGCCATTAGATGGTTGGGTCGTCAATCACAGGCGGGTGAAAGGCAACAACAACTACTACGGGTATTTAAAGGAAAACGATTGATATAAAATTTAACGATTTTGTAACGTAAAGTTGCTGCTTGATTTACAAATAGAACAGAGCATTCAAAGCTACATTTACTTGCATTTTAAAAGCATTTGCCGTTTCTTGGGAAATTATTGCCGGGTTCAATCTCCGCTAATTGAATTACGCCTGGCATTTTGTCCGCCAAAGTGGCTATAAACTAGCATCTATTTCTATGGCTTCATCGGCACATTGTTGTGCGTGTGTTCGGTAGATAATTTGCCGAGTTAAGCCGCAGAGCCCAGCGATAAAACGTTGAAGACTTGCTTACACCGACAGCGAGAGTCCGCAACGCAGGTTGTTGTGAACACTCATTGCGTTTTATTAAATGTTTAATATATAATATTAGTTTGAAGTTGGCTGGAAAATAAAATGGAATACATATTCGATTGCTTCTTCGAGAATACATTCGATAAAATTACACGCAATGGGCTGCAGGATCGTTCCTCGCGTCGTGACGTACTGGATCACTTGAACGCTGTGATCGGCGGTTGCAGTGATGGTAAGCCTAATATACCGAAGTGGCTGTGAATTGTCATTGCAGTTATTTGTCCTTTCACAGGGCAAAATATGCACACGGAGGAGGTTGCGCGATTCGCTGTGTTGGCGGCAGTGCGTTATCATCGCGAGAAAAAGAGCGGAAATGGAGGTGTAAGTAGAAGAAGCGTGAGAGAAATGTTCTTAAAAGTGTTTGGATTTTTGGAAAACAAAAATTTTCTTCTAAGTCCGATAGGATAAAGATTAACTTTTCGATTTGCATTCTTTTTCAGGTGTGTCTCATGGGAAAATTCCACAATATTCTATACATTGCGCTGCGGACTTGTTGGGATTGGGGCGTACGTGATTCCACCGTTGTGGTTCTGTTGTTGGGTAAGTGAACGTTTTACAACAGTGTAGGAAATACAGAGTATCGATTATGGTCACTCATACACCGCATTGTGCCAGAAGACACAATTTATGTAAGTAGCACACCATATATACGCCTACTCCAATGCTGTCTTGAGCACCAGCCTCAAAGAAATCGTTCGTCGAGGCATAAGTGTCGTTTTGTCTGTCGCCTTTGTATGTTGGATCTAATTAAAATTGCATGCCAAATCCATACAAGCACTTATGTACATCTGTGAGTTCATGTTTACATGGAATGTTTTTCAGTGTCAACATTGAACACAAACATGGAAAAAGATACACGAAAATAAATATTGTAGATGATTGTCAGTGACACAGCTTTTGCGGTAACCAGCCTCCTCAAATGAACACAACAACCACATTCATTTAGCGAAAAGCGGAAAACGAGCTTGTTTTAAGGCATTGGGTGGATTAATGTTTATGTTTGCGCAGAAATTACAAAATCTGTGTTGGAAGTGCTTTTAGCAAAATTAAAAAGACAATTGCTCGAGTTGAGCGGGAAGAGGCACATTTGCAACACGTCCGACCAGTGTGTGCAACAGAAGTCACTTTCGGATGAGCTGCTTTCCCGGCTGGCTTTCACTCTCCTGAGTTGTAGACATATTCTCCTGCTAATATTTAATGACTCTTGGGTTGACAAGTATTTCTGTCTGTGACAACCCGATAAATTAAAGTTAATAATGAAACAAACACATGAATGGCTTAAGCCCCAGGTTTTGCTGTACTTCTACTTTTAAGAAATAAGCGCTTTAATTGCTCAAATGTACCTGCTCAAAAAAAGTGCCTTCACATATTTTAATGCTTGCTTATTTTAAAGTAACAATCAAAATATATGAAAGTTATATAGGTTTATATATGTATCAAAGCTTAGAAATGTCTGTCTCTTTATTCCCCTGCAGAGAAATGGACAGGATGGCATAATTTTCGACCGAAAAATCTTTGTTGAAACTTATTACTACTTGGCATTAAGGGTTAAGAAATAAGCGCATGCGGACGACTATTACATGAGCTTTAACGGTAACGGCGCAGTTTGCACTGCTGAGTTTTCGTTGGCTGATACCCTTGCATGAAACTGTCAAATATAAAAATATGCGAAATATTTCTTAATAATAACCTCACTGCCGAGTTAGATAGCAAGACTTATTTCTACGGATTATTCCAAAAGTGATAATATTAAAATTATACTTAACATAAATCACTTGCTGACATTTAACGTCAAATGTTGTATTATTTGCTCGGTTTTGCGCAACAACCTACGACAGTGATGCTTTTTCTAATTTTCAATTTTGGCAAAAATGCCCGGTTTGCTTTTTCGAACTGGTTGCACCATGCATACTAAGCAGTTTGCATATCCGAAAACTCCTTATCTCTCAAATAGTGGCATGTGAAGTAATATGTTTTTTAAGTTGCTGTGTCGTTGCATGGACCCAGGATATATGAGCCAAAATTTAATGTTCTGCGAATTAAATATTCGTGGAAATTTTCTGAATTCCAGCACAATTCTTATTTCGAATTTCATTAGTTCTTTTAACTATGCAAGTGATATTTTAAGAGCTAAAAGAGATATCGAAACAAATCTTGGTACATATGGGAGCTATTTTAAGGGGAAACCCTATCATTTAATTTTATTGCCTGTGGCACTTCTATGATACAAAAAGCAGTTTACTTATCTACTTATGCTTGAGTTAAAGCTATTTCCCAGCTCTTTAAAAAATTAACGCTTCAACGTATTGAGGTTGCTCGAACTTGCGTGTTCAAAAATATTGTAATATTTAACGACTACTATGTAAGGGAAAAGACCTCGGTAGTTTTATCAATGCAATTTTTCGCGTGTAAAATCCGTTAGATGTCAAAGTGGATAAGAGAGCAAAGACCAAGGACGAGGTAGCAAATTCTAATTGCCATAATCTAGGTTAGAACACATTTGGTTAGTAGAAAGAGAAAGTGGAAGAGACAAGAAGCGCACATTGAGCCATTACTGTATGTCAATAAAGAGAATGCTGGCTGGCCGTCACAATGTGTGCACGAGTGTGCATGTATATGTGCGACAATGCCCGGTTGGGTGTGTGCGTGCAACAAGTGCGTTCTGCAATATTGGCTTATTTAATGCAATCATTTCCGACAGCGCTATGTTTCAGCGCTTCAGAGCCCCAGTGCACCAGTCAGGAAGTTGCTTTGACCTGCATGCGCCATTGCTAACGGTATGGATTCATGCGCGTGCTTGCAGAGACACGCACACTACATCCGCTCGCCAAAATATGCATCAAAGTGTGTACTTTTACACCGAAATGCATATTTGCGAGGTCCTCATGACAGTTGGCTTATGCAGAGGCAAGTGTGTGTGCGGAGTGTGTAAAAATTGTACAGGCTTTCTATGTGAACGCATTAGTATTTCTGCCATTTGGCATGAAACGGTGCGGAACTGAACCTGGGTGAGGGGGGCGGTAGGTTGCTGTGGTAGCGTTTGCGTTGTTTACGGTTATTGCATTGCCAATTGTGCAAATTAAATTGCCAAACTGCCACACGTTTGCATAACGCAGCCGGCACTAGGCGAGTGCCAGCAAATTTCGCTCCGGCAACAATTTAATTTATGCCGACTAGGCGTATGGGAAGCAAGCATATTAAAACGAGCCATTTGGCTATGGCTGGATGTGTAGTGTAAATGTGCTTAGCATTTAAGAGTTTTGGGATTTAAGGTATTAGGTGATTTGACTAAAGTGGTGGTGATGCAACACCTGGTAACCATTTTGGATGACAGTAATAATAAGGTAACTTATTTGAAAGTGAAGATTAGGATTTGGTGCATTTCTTGAGATATTAAGAATAATCATATCTACAAGCAGTTCTGCATTCTTTTTCTAATTTGCAATTTTCGTTTTTTTTTCTTTCATTTTCAGAAGAGATCTATTCGTGCGAGAAAACATTTGAACGAATATTTTTGGGCGCCCTATTCGGGCCCCATGCCCCACACTTCATAGCCGGTTGGCGCAGCGACTTTCGCGACCAGGTTAAGCGGATTAGTTGCACTCTGACACACAAACCCTGCCTGCTTTTAATCCTTTAACGTAATTTTTTGCATTTGCTTTAGCTAGCAGTTTTCTTTTAAATTTACCTATAACCTAAAAATTTTGATTTTCGACCTCGCTATCGGTAGTTCATTTAAATTTCCTTCGTATGATTATGTAAAAACTTTCTGATGCGCGTAATATCCACCATTATATACTGTTATTTTTGTTTTGCCACATTTGCATGCATCTTCCGGCTAATCAGGATGAAAACACGCGAGCCATGGTCTACTTTCTTCATCATGCCACATCACTTAGCTTGCAACTGCCAGTTTGGATAGCGCGCTTCGAGCAGGAACGTATGGTAAGGTAAGTGAGTGCACCAGAGTTGAAGTTTATTCATACACCCATAAGGTCATATACATATATGTGTCGGCCGTCAGTGTAACCACCGTTGTTTCTTTTCGCTACAAATAAATGTTGTGGCTTTATGGATCGCCTGTTATGCATACATACATTTTTTATACACGAACATGTCGGAATTTTCTTAGTCTTCGTCGTTTGAGGTTGCAAAAATTGACGAAATTTGTAGCTGGATGCCTTTCGTCTTCTGCATTCAATTGCAAATGTCGTAAGGCGTTTATGCTTTAAGCGGATTTGTATAATTCAAAGGAAATTAATTTAATTACGTTCGCTGCAAACGTCTCACAGAGTGCGCTTTATGAAATGAAAAGGGAAGTTATTTTGAATATCGTACTGTTTAAATTTAATTACATTAATTAATCATCTGCCAGACTAACGATGATTACTCCAGTGGCGATTTATTGACAGTGACATTTAAAAATAATTGTAATGTTTGTGAAAAGAAAATCTAAGCCCCTAAGTAATATAAATGAAGGTACATATGCAGGTAATTACAAATCTTTAACTGTGTTTAACTTTCAATATTCACAGTTTCTCTGTCGTAGTTATTTAAATATGTATTTGTGAGAAAAATTCGACATGCAAAAAATTTCAGCTACTAAAATAGTTTCCCTAATTATTCTTTCAAATATTTTATTGTCTGTTAAACATAAAGGGATTATCGGTCTTTGTTCCAGCATTTTCTACTACTATGGAAACGAAAAACATTTGTGCAGGCGGGCATTTTTCTATCGCTTTCAACTCTTACGTATTCACCAAGGCCTTTTGTGTTGATGGAAAGTGTTCGTTTTTTTGCCACAGATTACCTTTGCTGCTTGCGCGCAGATTTATTGGTACTAAGCGAGTGATTTTTGCTGATTTCAATAATTTTCATTCAATAAATGTTTGAATATTCCTCGAATATTATCGAATTTGACAACTTGTCTCTGAAAATGAACCTAAACCATTTCTATTGTCAACAAATGAATGTTGTTATTTTGTCCTTACGGTTGCTACCTTTGTAATTGCATGCAGTGGTTCGTTTTATAATTCCAAATTGCATGTGGCAACGTACGACAGTTATATAAAAGTAGTGGAATTTTGTGTAGTATTTCTCTGAGAGGTTTAGAAACCCTCGTTGCTGGGTTCTTGTGGTGAGTGTGGGTGTGGTTGGATATAACACATCTATCTATTTTAATGTTTAATTGAATATTTGATCTTATTTTGAAAAGATTTGAAAATTTTTTTTACATTAATCTACTTATCTAAAATTAAAGATGAGTGAAAATTTTGATTAATAATAAAGTACGGGACGTTGCTGGCTGTACTTACTGTGGGTACGGTTTTTGCTGTTACTACATTAATGACTAGACACTTGTTTCTGTTAACTATTGTAAAGGATTTTAGAAAAGTATGCTAGAATAAAGTAATTTGTTTTGAAAAATGACATTTTTAAAGAATTGTTAAACGATAACTTAAATGACGACATAAAGCGTCATCCGTCGCGAATGTGTTAATCAGGCGTTAATGCAAGCTATCACCTTATTTGTGACTTTCTACGTTTTTGACTTCCAAGCTTTTTTGTTCTAATAATTTTTATCAACACATAACTCAAACATGAGTGTGAATGTTTGCTTTTATCTATTCTAGTAGTAAGAGGATATTACTATTCCTGTTTTGTTTGTTCATACATTTTTTCGTCATCGCCAATTAATTTCCGCACCATGTATCCCATCCTCAGCGTTATATGCGTCTAACAACACTTTTCCCAATAATTTGCGCGCATATATTTCCCATATTACATGCTTTTCCAAATAAAATTTTTATTTTCCAGCCTTTCTAACAATTTTTGCTGTGTTTTGACAATTTTTCAGATTCATTGACATTCCGATCGAGTCATGCGGCCGTTCATCACCGCTTCGTGTTGCCTTACAGGCGAGTGCGCCTGACCTGCTGCTTATACTATTAAGGTAAGTAAGCAAGTGTACGAAACGCCTCGAGCTGTAGAACTCTTCAAAGTGACGGCCAGCAAATTTGTACGATAAAATATTCATGTTTATTGGAATTATTGTGAATAAGTTGAAGTGCATTGCGGCGCGCACGAACGCCTCATGAAAAATTCGCTTGAAAACGATACTTAGTTTTCTATTGTTTATTATTATTTTTTTTTTACTCGCTTGCTTTGAAGCGCATTCCTCTTTACTAAATTTTGCTGGAGACAAAAGTACGAAATGCCGATGACTACCTACTAAATAGCAGTATTAAAATGGTGTGTGTGTTTCTTGTTATCAAAATAATTCACTTCGCTGCGCATTTCCAGTGTTGCACAATACATTGCAGCAAAGGAAACAAGGAAAAGCGAAAAAAATCTGATTACGTAACAAAAAAGGCGCAAATGAAAATTTAAGCGAAAGCACTCAAGCGAAAGCGCCAGTTTCTAGTGTTGTACTAGTAGCAAATTCAAAGCTTTTAAATAATGGACTTCATATACAAATTTTGTGGTTTTATAAAGGTCAAACATTTCGGTTCCGAAAATTGACAGGCGCAAACTCACTCCTAAGTAGCCTTGAACTAGTCTTGCTATTATTCTTAACAAATCCGTTTATTTTAAATTTAAATTGGGGTTTCAAGCCAAATTTAATTATTTGCTTTCCTAATAATTATTCTGAAGACTTTTATACGGATTAAAGTTTAATGGAAGATTTTACTAATTATAACAATTAATTGGGAAGATTTAAATGAAGTATTTCAGTTATTATTGAATTTTCGCCTCTGGAATTCAAATGAAAGTAAGAAATTCCATCAAAATCATTTCTCAGAACTCCTTTCTTACCAAAAACTGTGAAATTAATAACAACGTGACCAGTGAAACAATAAGTCAGCAGCAATTGAAAATGCAAAAGAAAAAAGGAAAATGAAATTTCTACGAGAGGCCATAAGAAAGTTTTGAAAAGCTGTGAAACGAAAGGAAAATACTTCTTTTGCCAGAATATTTCAACATTTCTTCATTTTCATAGCCCATTCTTTCATTCGAGCAAATTTTCGTTCCATGAAATATTTATTGGCAGTATGCAAATTAAAACAATTTGTAGTATTGATTCCAAAGCGTCGTTTTCCGTTATTTACGAACAGAAATGCTAAATTTATTCACACACATACACAAAAGCACATGCCATAAATTTGCTGAGTAAACCAGTGCTGCCACGCCCCATTGATTTTCATATGCTAAAACTGGGCAAGCACGCTTACACTCACTTTGAGTATTGTATAGTTGTCCAGCAGCCTAGCCAATCTGTCTTGCTGTTTATGTGCACGATTTGACGAACAACACGCTAGCGCGCCAAAAACTATGCAACGTTTGTCGAAATCATGCATACTTGCCAAAAGTGCGGGTGCCAAGGCAAATTTTAAGTGTGTCAGATATTTATTGGAACCTCAAAGGGTGCAAACATACATACGTACAAACAGATAGATACAGTGGAGGCAAAAAGTGCAACTATTAGAATGAGTGGAGCCGAAAGCAGTTAGCTTTGGGTTTATGTTTGAGCAGCGAATTTTATTGGCACACTATTGATAAGTGCCACAAGTTAATTTCAGAGGCGAATAGGGAAATGGCATGCAAAGAGGACACAAGAATAAACATCCATAATGCCGAATTGCATTGTGTAACCATGGCTTATGGCTGGTGTATGTGTGCAGTGCATTACGTAACACTGTCATGCCCCACGAAGCACTCACTTAATTCTGAACATTAATGGCTCGGCGGCATTTTGATTGCTTGTGGAGCAAGGAGACGCCAGTGTGTGTAGACTTTTATTGAACTCAAATACGAAAAAGGAATAAAAAATTGTCACATATTGGCCAAAGCAATATAACCTTCATACATTGCAATATTAAAAATTTCCATTTTCAAACGGCGCTCAGCAAAAACTTTGATGATCGTTACATACGAATATTTCAAATTTGTCAATCATAAGAGTTAAAAAAATCATACGTGTTTATCTGCGCTTGCACAGTTAGGCTAAATTGATTATTTTTTTCACTGCAAAAAAACTGGTGAAGAATTTATTTTTCTCAGCTTAGAAGAAATCCAGAGATTCCGTTTCGAAAGATAATAGAGAATCTTGTATCTGCATGTGAACTAAACTCATCTTCAAATGAGGAGATGCTTGTTTAGAAACGAAAATAGTCTTTATTATAATTAAAATATTCAATGAAACCAGCTATAAATATTCCCAAGTGTCAATTGCTAGTCCAAACTTATTTGCATTCTGTTTTTCGTACTTTTATGGTAACCATTTTCCTTTTAAACCACGAAGAAAGTATATACAACCGTTAATGCTGCTACGGGTTGCATCGTTATAAGCCGTGAGTGGTTGTAATGGCAAATACCCGACGGCAAATGCTCTCAATGATATTTTGCGCTTATTTACACCTTAGACTGTGGCATTAGGAAGACAACACCTTGAACTGAAGTGCATTTGCAATCATATGTATATGTGTGTGCGTACAACAATTGTATTGCAGAACATAAAAGTGGATATTCATGCTGGGAAATACCTGCAGAGATTCCTGGCTGTTCACATAACGGGCCAGTTTGTTTTAGACAACTGCCGAGTTTTACCCGTAGTCTACTTTATGCAGCTCTTCGTTGTACCAGCTCGTCTATCCCACGGCTTACATATCCGTCATTACTTGCAAATGTGTGTGTATATGTATGTCCGTGTGCCTAAACACATTGCTTGATTTGTAACTCGTTTACTGAGACAAAACATTCGACTTTATGGTAGTCCTGAACAGCAAATACGTTGCGACAAATTCCTGCCATTAGCCACAGGCACCTTTCAGCCAAACAAACATACATACATACCAACATATGTCTCAGTGCTCGTAAGGAAGGATGTACGCATTGTTATTGTAATCATGTGCGCGTTGTGTCTATTTACCATTATTGTAAACTTGGTTGGCAAAAGAGCACGCCGTTTTGTTTTTGCATTTCACGGGGGGAAGCTGTGCCAGATATTCGTACAAACATACATGCCCGTTTGTTACAAAAGATTTTACATTACCGATGTAGATCCCCGTTAAAATGCAATAAGGACAACCAAGTTGACTTAATCTGTTTTGGTTCGAAGCAAATTCTGCGGTCGATATAGAGTGGATCGAGCTACTATATATTTGAATTTCCCGATATCCCGATCGCAGGTGCAGAGTTACCGAGTCGATTTGGTAACCTGTCAAGTATTTGGATGCTTTTTTGTGACACTTTCGTGTTTCTTGAAGAGTTGTGTTCCCTAAGAGTACTGTAAAGTATGAGGTATTGTCTTCATTTATTGCATCAAAATGTAAAGTAGGATTAAAAAAGTTTATGTATTGATGAGGAATTGTCAAATTTATTTTCTAATATTTTCTTATAAGTACTTCTGCAGCTTTTCTAAGCTCGAACATCCAATATTGACTTAATGTACCATAGATTACTTCCTTATTTTCAGATATGGCGCTCATCCGACCCCCCCCGATGGCGGTTCCTCCGTCGTGCATGCTCTACTGGAGAAACTCACTGAAAACGGGCGCAATTACGTTCTACAAAATGTGTCGTGTTTGCAAATTTTGCTGCGCACTATACCAATGATCGAGATGCCATACAAGGTGAGTACACGACAGGTGCAGCCAACACGCTAAATATATATGAGGACGACATACTTGTAGACGCACCAAGTCATATGCATGAAGGCGCGTCCAATTACACCAACACAGACACTTGCAATATGTGACCAACATTACTAGTGTTGTAAATTCCAAACTGTCTAGGCGGTTAAGCCGTGGCAGCCATTTACTCGCGCTATGCACGGAAGTATGCTCGCAAGCAGTGACTAGAGGCAAAGACGCAATGCGTTAGTGCTGTCCAATGGTTGTTAGAAAGTTGGAAAGTTGACGCTGCCGTAGTGGCTGCGAACGATTGCTATTGATGACGACGAGTTGTGGTTGCTGGCGCAATTGTTGGACATCTCCGATAGATACTCATGGCAGCAGCATTGCTTGTGTGGGAGTCTACTTTGGACTTAGTGCAATTGGTGGAGCTGCGAATGAGATTCTGCGAACTTCTATTTTTCAGATTTTCTCTCAGAATACCAGTGCCAAAGAGAGCGTACAAATATAGCCTAAAGAGTTTTGGGTCTGTATAAACACTCCTTTGCCGTTTTTGATAGACCTCCAAGGAATGGTGGTGACTTTCCTATGTGCATTATTTACATGCGAAAAGAGCTTTTGTAATTAAATTAGGCTTCTCTCGCTCTTGTTTCACTCACAAAGTTACTTACACATCTTTCATTTTACCCCTTTTCATTGCCACATTTTCGTGTACTCTGTGATTTATTACAATGCAACGAACTTTTCACATCCACTGTCATTTAAATTTGTTTAATTTTTGTATTTTTTCTTATTCCCACCTTATTTAGCCAATTATCTACAGCGCACGCCGCGAACTGTTTTTCGAAAAATACGGGCGTCTTCTAATTGATCGCATCATCACCAAAGAGCAGGTATACGGCGTCGTCTCCTTGCGGCATTTATGTCGGTAAGTATTGTAAGTACTTGTATTTACATTTGGAAGCTACTTTATTCAACATTATTCCGTTGCTGGGACAATTAATTTGGTTGGAAATTGATAAATTTGTTTTTGGTTTTGAAGTTTAATCAATTTGGTTTGTTTCATTAAATTTTGAACATGATTTGTAGCCGCTGTTCTTCGGTGGTTTCGGACGAACTTCTTATGCTCTTAAGTATTAGGCTAATTAAAATTTGTATCGAGTAAAAATGAAAATTAAACCTGATATTCTTTTTTGAGTACTGCGTAAAGGGCTTAGAATTGTTTATGAATTTACATTCATATTTTTTAATAAAAATGATGTTGAAAGTAGAATGAAAAACAAGTTATTGCAATTATTATAGACACATTTTATAATTATTATAGATACACTTTCTGTGATTGTTGTATAATATTAGTGTTTTTATAGTTTTTGCCAAGCAACAACATTAATATTTATTTCTTCGATATTAATAAAGTAATCTTTCGGTAAATATCCACCATTTTTTTACAATAAAGAGCTGATACCGCAGTAAATGATTTTGTGGTCGGCTTTCGCTCCACGTCGAGAGAGTTTATCTCAGCGTTTGTAATGTAGTTAGTAACAATTCTCAAGTGCTTTCAAGATTTCAGTGTCAGTGGGAGGGTAATTCTTAATTAATTTTGATTATTTTGTCATAAAACAAATTAAATTTTATCAATTCTTATTACCTGATTATTTGTACCGAAAATAGTCTGCAGTCGAATACTCTCAAATTCTCTAGTTAGGTGGTATTAAATATAAAGAACATGAAGTAAGGAAACTAAGTAGTTTAGCCTACGCATCTTCCAAAGACTATTAAACATATACATATATTCCCAATAAAACGTAATTGCTAACCATTTATTTTATGAAAATCTTACAATACTAGCCTTCGCATTAGATATATAATTGATGAAATATGTCAAATATTACGAGACTCATCGTATATTGTTTTAAATTAATAAACTATCCTCAAGTTTGTGTTAAGCAACCTTAAATTAGTTTGAGAGCGCGCTTTTTAAAGAGGTCACAATTCATAATGTGAATACTTGTATAGAAATAATACTAATATATATATATATATGGGAATTCGATCTTTAGAAGTATTGATGTCAAAGATGCTATTACTCTAAAGTATTCGGTACCTCTCAACACGACGTAGACAATAGAATCGCAATTAAAACACCCTTAATACAAATTGTAATGTAACTATATGTAAACTATTTCTAAGCGATAATCTTTAGCAAATTTGCTTTTATGCGTCCTCTAATCCTGATTAAGGCATAAACAAATGGATAATGTAATTTATCAAAACATTTAGCGAAACGCCGGCTACAAGAATACCGCTAATCGAATTTCTTCAGCACGAGCCAACAAAATAAATAGGATAATACTAAATTGCTTGCAGAAGACCACTGATGCCATCTAATCATAAAGGCGAATAATTCCCTTTGTCGCTATTAATTAACTAACTCGAAAATTGTTGATTATCAATCGGCTTTAGACGGCTTTGTAAAGCAAATACGAGTACCAAAACGACTCGCTCAGAACGCCCAGCTTTTTTGGCGGAGTGGAAATTTAGTTCACTTGAAAGCGCCGAAATAACTTGAACGAGGAAGAAGAGCGATGAGAATGAAGCAAAATAAGTCAAGTTCATGGTAAATGGTGGTGAAAACCGAAAGAGTTGATTAGTCATCACAAGAATGGATATTATTATATAGGTAAATGCGAGTATGTAGATACATATAAGCGAATGTATAATGTGCGAAAATATGTTTGCCAAATGAGTAGAAGAATATGGTGTGAATCGACGCCATAACTGCCGGAAGATACTAAGTACTTGTTATAGATTCATATGCCCATAAATGTAATGGTTCCCAAGGGGGGTAGACTGCATTGCACGCATTTTCACTCAAGATTTGTGTTTACTGGATATCCTCTCAGCGACTGTACATGTATGCTCTGTAATGCAGCCTTCGTTTAAATGATGACTTTGCAGTTCGAAGTAATTTTTTCTTATACTCGTAGTCTCTCATTGCTTGTAAAAACGTCCATAAATGTTTACTTTTTTCTTTCATAAAATCTTCTTGGGCTTAACTGCAAATGTTAAAGAATATGCGAAATGCTGTCTCATGTGTAAAATTTTTAAATACAATACGTTGCTGAAAATTTTAAGACGCAAGATTCTTCATAAACTCCCATATCAAAGCTGCTTGTGAGCTGACAAAGGTCGGATCTTTAAAAAGTATTTCCCTTAAAACCTTTCATACATATGAGCATGGGACAATAACACTGAGGACATATGTATCTTCTGAATTGCAATTTTGGCCATACTTCATAAATCATAATACATTTTTAATTTTTCTTTCGCCAAGCAGTTATGATTGCCCTATAAAATAAATAATTTCTACTCCGCACTATGTAAATGAGTTCGATCATAAATTTCATGTGACACATTCAGGTTAAATTACGAATGTGTTAAAAGCAAAAAATAAAAATATACGAATAAATGTGTGAAAAAGTGCGAATAAATGAAGTGAGTGAATGACCTCGCTCGAAATGAAAGCAATTTGACTGGCAATTCGAATAGAAATTCTGTGCCAATTGGATCGTATAAAATGACAAATTGCCTTAGAGAAAGGTTATGTACTTCGTACGTATAACTGTAATATTGGTTGGGTAATGAAAAAAATTTAAAAAGGCAATTTAACAGGCTGGCGTCAGGAAATTTTTATTGAAAAGATGACAATATGGTTTCAGCAACTCGTCGCGTTTCAGGTGTGTGTAGTTATAGGTTGAACATTTTTTTTACTTATGAAAGTACTCGTATTCAAGTAAAATGTAAAATAGCCCCTAAAGTCCTCAACGTAACTAAATTTGTTGTGTTTCTGTTTTACACAAATAAAAACAAAGCTCACTCTGCTCCGTACTTGAGAGGTTAAAGTGGGCAAATTTTAAATTAAATCGCAAATGTAAAATTGCGTAAAGAGCTATTTTGCAATTATTTGGGGACCACATTTTTTTGGCTTATTTTGCAAGGTATGAAATTTGAAAAGCTCTGTTTTTCCTCTTAGTTTGCAATCCTAACGGAACGCGCCCTAAGCTTTTTACAATTCGTCGCATTAGTGTTATTCGATTTTCAAGCGACTGTAAACCTTTTCCGTTAGTATTTCATTCTTTTTTAAATTCCTTACTATCCTAATTTGCTCTGTTTTAAATTCTGTACTCTAGACTGGGTGGTGAATAAGCGCCTTTAATAATTTTTTCCACATATAATTTTGGCTAGTAAGATTTGCTAGGGATTATATGGATTATAAATAAATTTACTGCCCTTCTTTGATTCCCCACATCCATAATCAAATTTCAAAGTATGTGTTTTACATATATACGATGTCATAGGCTTTGTAAAACAACTTTTTATATTTTCTTTATTTCATATATTAGCGAAGCCTGCAGCGCTGCCGGGTGTCCACATTTAAAAATTCTTTCTTTTTTTTCAAATGCGAAACTTATCACTGCAAAGTCTCAAAACTTTTGAAAGAAGCACGCGCGTCTAAGCTGATGCGTTTGACTACAATACACATATATGTATGTATGTATATCGACAAGCACAAACGCTACAAGGGATAACTTTTAAGTTTCAAACTGAAATTGTTAAATGCGCTATTTTTAGTCCATATTCTAGGTTTGTACAAGTATTGTTTGCTGGCGACAAAAGCGCACAACACGTCCGCAAATTCTTCCCTTCCTGCCGGACATACTTCTTTACTTGCTTCTTTTGAAATTTCGATATGTTGATTCACTACGTATTTCGTGAAAGGCCTACAAATATTTTGTTTCTACACATACTTGTATCACCAGCCCATAAGCTTCCTCTAAAGTGCTAAATGTTTCTATTTTCAACATGTTGCAGATGCCGCATACGTGACTTGCTGCGCCGCAACTGCCAACTGCCCGACGGCATAGATACGCTGCGGCTGCCACGACGCCTGCACCGCTACATTGACTTGATGGAAGAGCTCGAGGGGCCGCAAAAAGAGGACGATGATGAAAATAATGCAGCGCTGGAGAAATTACAAGCCACCGGCGGTGCTGTTAGTGGTGCAAAGAAACGAGTGCATTTCGCCGAGTCCAAGGAGGAGGAGCAGTCTTCGGTGGATGTGGAAGTGGCTGTGGAGGTCGTAGAGAGTCTGTTGCTGGAGGAAAGGCTGCCGATGGCACAGCAAGCCACTGTGACGGGTGAATTGCCGACGGTGGTGGAGGAAGACACGGCAGAGCTGGCAGAAGAGCAATTAGAGATGGAAAGCCAAAATAATTTTGCTGTTGTGTTGGAGAAACCGTTAGCGGTCGAAATTATCAGCCCCATGCAGATGCTGTTGACTACCGAAAATAGCAGTGGAAACAGCAGTAGGAGCGACAGCCACATAAGCAACAACGGCAGCAACACTCGCGGCAAGGTCAGGGAATGCATTGAACGCCAATTGAGCTAGCCAACGCTGTCATAACAATTTGATATTGTTAGTTAGTAAGTACGAGTTACGAGTTTAAGTGAGTTATATTAACTGCCCGAGTTTGCGGACATCAAGAGTAGCGCTGTGGCCTTACAAACAACAACATTTGAAGACGACACTGGCAATTCTTGCAAACTATTTGGACTGCCCTTTGATTTTACTGGCACTGCATTTGTGTGGAGAGCATGTAGTTGGAGAAATTGTGAACAAACATTTTTTAATGCAAAAACTTTATCTTTTCGTGTAATTCACGTTTTTACAGTAGCAAGTTGACTTAACTTACTTTGCCAACAAGTCAACGAGCAGTCGAGATTCGTGAGTGAATTGTTGAATATATTGGGATTGGCAAAAATTGGAGATACTTCACATTTTCATTTTGCTGTGGCACGCTCCAAAGTGTTATTTGTGTGAGCGTGTTCCCCAATCGCATTTTTGTAAAATATACAATCAATAAAATCTGTGTCTTTCACTCACCGATAAGTTTCCTCGCTGACGTTGATACGTCCCGGCACACCCGTGGTCTCTGTGCGGCTTGTCAGATTCACCGTGTTGCCAAAGAGACAGTAGCGTGGCACACGATTGCCGATAACGCCGGTCACCACCTCGCCCGAATGAATGCCAATTGTCACTTGCTGCGGAAATGAGAAAGAGAAAATTGTCAAATGAAGCAGATTAAAAATGCCACAGCCTAGATTTAATTAAATTTGAGTTAAATGCATTTTTGTTTTGGTATAGGAAATAATTTCATACTTTCGTTATCGCGCTGCAAATGTCGAATGTAGAACGTTTGTACATATTATACTACTTGTATATGCACGAGTATGTGTTGATATGAAATGAAGTCTATTAAGGCTATAAAGTTTATTAGTAAATATCATCCAATTTTGTGGAGACATTAATTAATTTTTAAACAAATAAATAACGAAATGTCATAAAAATAATTAATGTTTATCGATATGGATGTGCTTTCATTTAACGAGTTTAGGTAAGTGTTTTCATTAAGTTTATCACATCTCTGAATCAGAACGGAGCAAATGTAAGATATGGCCTACACCCATAGGTTACGATAGCAATCTTTGTAGGCACATACGCACCTTCATATGTATTTATATAAAAATTACGTGTAATGTTTAGCGAGGAAAACTCATAAACAACTGTACTACTTTTAGTAATATTTAGCACGGTATCCATTTTGATCCAACTTAAAAGCTGGGATAGGTTGCAACTCAAGTATGTTAAGTCAAAACCATTCATAAATAAAAAAGAAGTGAGGATGTGTTAAGTTCGGATGTAATCGAACATTTTATAATCTCGTAATTTGGAAAGATCAATAACGGGAAAGTGCTTTCAGGGGTTGACAAACTTGATATTAAACAAGTAAGAAAGGGCTAAGTTCGGATGTAACCGAACATTTTATATTCTCGCAAAGTCAAATGGTATACTCGTTTGAGATTTCTTTGTGGATTGACTGATATTTTCAGTAGAAGGTCAACTATAGGCACTGGGGTCCACATATTTAGTACTTAGGGGCTTAAACAGTTTTGGTTCGATTTAGACAATTTTCGGCCACAAGGTGGCATACTTTAATTGCATTATTCACGCAAAGTTTTTTCCCGATGCAGTTATTGTTGTCTGATTTGCATAGTGGAAAGTGAAAGAATCAGATGGAATTTTAAATGGTGTTATATGGGAAGTAGGCGTGGTTGTCCGTGGTTGTCGAGTGGGCGGAGTTGCCACCCGATTTCAACTATTTTCACACCGTCAATAGAGGTGCTAAAAACATTTGCTTCTAGTGAATTTTGTTATTATAGCATTAGCGGTTTAGGAGATATGCACATTAAACCTATTAGAGGCGGGACCACGCCCACTTTTAAAAAAAAAGTTTTAACTGCAGATGCCTCTCCCTAATGTGATCCTGTGTACCAAATAACAGTCTTGTATCTTATTGCGGAGCTTAGTTATGGCAAGTTATTTGTTTTTGATTAATGGCGTTTTGTGGGCGTGGCAGTGGTCCGATTACGCCCATCTGCAATACCAACCGTCTCACGGTACCAAGAAACATGTCTACCAAGTTTCATAAAGATATCTCAATTTTTACTCAGTCACCCGGATTTCAACTCGTCTCTTCATCCTGATCATTTATATATATATAACCCTATATCTAACTCGATTAGTTTTAGGTGATACAAACAATTGTTAGGTGAACAAAACTATTATACTCTGTAGCAACAGGTTGCGAGAGTATAAAAAGTGATATAAACTCAATCAAAGCTAAATTTAATATATGGGATGTATAAGGAAAACATCAACCAAAGGATGGGAAATCCCACTTTTATTCTAATGAATATCATTATATGTAGTATATGGAAGCTGGGGTAATTTACCCAATTCCACTTAAATCGGCGAAGAGATCTTGCATATTGACTGATATGTATGGTATAAAGTCAACCGGAAGTTTGAAATTCTTACATAATTATTATACATTTTCTTATATGAGGTTTATGGGGGCTGAGGAATATTTTGACCATATTTTATACAGTTTTGGAGTTACGTGATATCATTACCAGATATAAATGCTCTCAGATTGATCAATATATGTGGGGTTTCTTAATGGTATGTGGTTTCTTAGTGGTATGGTAATAATGGTAAGGAATAAAGTTAAAGCGGATGTTGGGCAATCCGTATATTTGTTATATTGGGACTAGGGAGAGTATTAGTCAAGAGGACCTTCATAAAGATTTCTTGCATACGAGTATTAACCGGTAGATGCGGTATATTGGAAATTCGAAAACATTTATATTAGATATATGGGGGCTAAGGGAAGTATTGATTGGATTCAACCCATTTTTGGTGCAAAGGCATGCTGTCCTTACAAAAGTATTCTCCTCAAATTTCAATACTAGACCTCACAGATTGACCGATATGTTCAGTTAAAAAGTTAGCCATGTGTTCTGCGGTCCACATATTTGTATTCTGCGCCCTTGTAAAATTATAGAGTAATTTCGACAATTTTTGAACGTAAAAGGAAATATTTTTAGTACCCATTTGTGAAAAGTTTTATTCCGATAACTTCATTGATATTTGATTTGTATATAATAAAGTGAAAGCATCAGATGCAATATATGTATGATATAATAAGAATATTTGAGTAATTTTAAACACCAAATTTGGTTCAAATTATTCTAGTAGTTCCTGAGATATAGGATTTCAACCACGCCGCGCGCTTTGTCCAATTTTTACACCTTCGGCGGGTTCACACCCACTTTTAAACAATTTTTAGTTCCACAGGTGTCTTTCACTACTGGATCTACATTGGGTGCCAAGGAATATATGTAGCAAGTTTCATCAAGATACCTCAATTTTTACTCAAGTTAGCGCTTGCACGGACAGTCAGTCACCCGGATTTCAATTCGTTTCGTCACCTTGACCATTTATATATGATATATACAACTCTATATCTCAAATAGTTTTAGATGATACAAACATGTTTCGAGAGTATTTCCCTGGATTTGATCCTTGCAATTAGCAAGAGTATGAAATCTTCGGTTACACCCTGCCTTACTTATTTATTATATTATTATTTTGAGTAAAATGCCAAATTCTTTATTTTTCCATTGATATAATCCCTTGTCTTTCGTTTTTATTCGTAAATAATATTTCCACTGTATTAAATAGTTTAATAGTATTTAATGTACACATGTGTGTGTGGCAATTCCACAGAAACGCGTTGTCCGATCTGCTAGAATATATACATGTTTTTGAAATTAAGCCATGTTGCAAAATTCTATACGGCAACAATATATGCCTTTGACAAAACGACCATTGAGCTTAAAGAGTGATAGATTTAAATCTGCTGTGTCTTTGTGGGAAGTAGGTGTCCTTATGTGCATTGCTAATTGGACGCGCTAAGAGAGTGTTATGTAATAAATATGATTATAATCAATAGAGTAGTTTGAGAGATATAACAGCACGAATACATGTGGGCGCCCAAAGTTGTAGTTGTGAACTGATTCATATGTGGCATCATTTTTCGTCTTTATCGGTTGTTGCAGTGTAAGTAATTTCCATAAAATGCAGCATATGGTGCTTCGAAAACCCTCCATGCGTAAAGTACACATATGAACGCGACTACATCTTCGTGATGTAATCCTATACATAAATTTTACAAAGTGCATTAGAAGGTGACTAACACGACTTATATTCCTCTCACCCCCTTGCGGTTGGTTTCCACAAAATATAAGATAAAGTTCCGAAATCATCACAAGTAGCAAAATTTCTCGCACGAGCTGTCTATCCAGGCGATAACGACCGCGAATAAGTCGAAATGGAAGCGCAAGTTGATAGAGCATTCCCACCGTGACGGTCGTGATGCACAAGCAATTCGTCAAAATCAACTTGTTGTAGTGCATACTTAGCATTTAGTTGAATCAAGTTAAATATGGGCTTGGTATGTCGTTATCCGGTGTGCAAGGAAAGGACATGTGAGCGATTTCAGTTGATTATTGCTACACCTCCTCACACATATGTGCGCTCCGCGGCCATAGGATGTAGTCATGTTTGGCAAATGGCGCTAGTGACCCTTGTATGTGCCGTTTCGGCGTAAGAAAGTGGATACGTGTCACGGACATGTTAAATTACTTTGATGATAAACGTTAAATTGCTCCAAATTGATAAGGACGTGAGGAAATGTTGAGTACGGATGTACGAATCGGAATTGAAGCATCGCCCAACTAGGCTAAATTTACTTAAAACTATTTACATTTTGACGCCCTCATTTGGAGAGGGTAAAATAATTTAGTTCTCTTGTAAAAGTACATATATAGATTTAAATATGTGCGTTGAATTTTTGGATGCTATACAGATTCACATTTAAAAAATTTTGCCCACAAAAATTGCCAGGTAAAAATTCCGCAATCCTACAGCTATTTTGTAGAAAATCCAACGACGTTGAAATATTGATTTAAATATAAGCAGTCTTCAACATTTATTCAAATAAAAGTGAAACGAAAAATTACGTCAAAAAGTAGTGACTGTAGACAACTTGGGCAAAGTTTCTGAGACAAAAACACTTGACAATGGCAAGAAAACTTTCAGTGGATGCAATCGAGTGTAAGAAGGAAAAGAGAACATTAAAGTAAATAGTTGTTTCTTTTGCTTGTGTTCAACATCTGCAAGTAATTGCGGGTGGCTCCAGCTTTCTAATTGGCTATTCCACACACCTCAGAGTTAGGTGTTCATTTAAATGCCAAAAAAAATATTGAATATCATGAACCAGTACACCCCTGTAGGAAAATTCGTGCTGCAATTGTTATAGTAGTATCGAATGGATTCAGCAAGCATTCAACCGTGTGTTTACCATGAGGAAAGCTATCTTAAAACTTTTAAGTGAGTCGAAGGCGGCTTAAAATTTGTAAATTCTTGCCCATTCTTGCCCATTGTAAGTTTGTAACACCTAGAAGGAAACGTCGGCGGCACTATAAAATATGTCCGTCCGAACTAATCTCTTAGTTTTTGAGATATCGATCTGACCCTACAAAATCAAGTTCTTGTAAGAAATATGGGTATTGTAACGAAGTTAACCAATTTGTTAGTAGAGCCATAGATGACATTGAACTTCGTTTTCTTCCATTTTTTTGACAACAGAAGTCCACTCAACGGTTAAGTACAGCTTTCGAAGGTGTGTCTGTCTCTAGTTGTGGGCCTCAAATATTTCTGATTCCATTGTATTTAAAATAATATTCTATTGAAAGCATAGATTTTAGAGCTTTGCAATTTTAGGTTTCTTCCTGATTCCTAAAAAACATGTACATATGTACATAAGTATATTCGAAATAACTGATGAACATTTATGTTGATCAAAGTGACTATACGAAACTATAAGTGGATAGCGATTCAATTGCCTCTACTAGCTCCGAAGTCGGCTGCATTATTCTACTTTCACTCTTTGCTTTCACAACAAGTGCATTGCTGCATTGTTTATAAGTAAGTGAGCGAAGAGAAGCAAAGTGGAATGGCGGCAAAGTACACGTGAAGAACAAGGTGAAGTGAAAATTTTCGCCACTACCGGTAATTGCACTTTAGACTCAGTTTGTATTTGTGGCATTGATGCCACCATTTGTCTTTCGGAGACGTCAACTTTGTGGAAGTGACGTCCATTAGAAAGAGTAGCGCAAGAGATCACATTGAGCGAAGCCCGCAGTTGTTCTGCTTCAACTTTAGCGCCAGTTAAATCACTGAATTGACTGGAAATTAATTCGTGCAATTTTAGCACAAAACTTGCACAAAAGCGCATTGAAACACTGTTTTACACACGCGAACATACGCACATGCTCTCGCTAATCTTCGACAATGTGTGAATATGCGAAGTGGATAATACCAGTTTTTTTATTTCAAAGAGATTTAATTTGTTTTGCTTAGGAGAAAGTTTTTGCTTTGCTGCAGTGTGCACTTTTACAACATTGTTTTTGGAAGTTATTCGAAAAGTTACAAAATCACTTCCGGAGAGCTCTTATCAAACATGTTCAAATGGTTAATGGATACTCACTACTCTACTCTAAGGAGAACTTTTGTCCTAATAATTAATATTATATTTGGAGCACCGCTGGTTCGAGAGTTTATCTTTGTCTTAAAGAAAACACAATCTGTTCTGTGAGAAATTTTCGATACTAAAAGTTTGGTCCTTCAAGGGAAGAGAACACTATATCAACAAAAGCCTAGTCTGAAATCAGAAAACAAATCTGAACACAAATCAAAATATGCCGGAACTCACAAAATATAATTATAACAACTAAAGAAAGCCTTAGTGTGGTTGTAACCGAATATTTCATACTCTTGCAACTCTTCCGAATTTCAATTATATATTTTACCGATTGACCGATATTTTCGATAAAAAGTTCGCAATTTGAACTGTGGTCCTCATAAAGGCACTACTATTTATATATATCGTTGAGTTATATTGCGATTTTAACTATTTTTACACTTTTAAGGGGGATACTAAAAATATTTGCTGTGAACAAGTTAGGTTGATTTTGCTAAATTGGTTCGGAAGATATGTGCATTAAACTTGTTAGGGGGCGGGACTACGCCCATTATTGAAGGATTTTCAAACTCAACTCTGCAATCTTCTCTACCAAATTACAGTTTTGTATCTCAATTTGGAGTTTAGTTATGGCCAAGAAACTTATGTATTAAGTTTCACCAAGATATCTCAATTTTTATTCAAGTTATCACTTGCACGCGCAGATAGTTAACCGGATTTTAACTCGTCTTGTCACCCTGATCATTTATAACGGGTGTTTTTTGCGAGGTATAGAACTTTAAGTTGGCATTTCTGTTCAAGATGGCGACCGATTTAACAGCTGTCAAGTGATTTATTCTCAGTTTGACTTGGCAATCCATCATAAATAGACTCACGCCTGAACAACGCTTGCAAATAGTGCAATTTTATTTCGAAAATAATGGTTATGTGCGGAATACGTATCACGCACTACGTTCATTTTATGAATGATGCGTTGAAGTGCAGTTCATGGCTACGTCAACAAACAAAACTGCCTAATTTGGAGTGAAGCTAATCCTCAAGTGTATGCCGAAACACCGTTACATCTAGAAAAACTGACTGTTTGGTGCGTTTTATGGGCCGCTGAAAAACGATGATGGCCAGAACGTTACAGTCAATGGTGATCGGTGTAGAGCCATAATTACTAACTTTTTCATTCCTGAATTGAACAACCATGATGTCCAGGAGCTGTGGTTCCAACAAGACGGCACAACATGTCATACAACTCGTGCCACCATCGATTTATTGAAAGACACGTTTGGTGACCGTCTAATTTCACGTTTTGGACCTGTGAATTGGCCTCCAAGATATTGTGATTTAACACCGCTAGACTACTTTCTGTGGGGTTATGTAAAGTCATTGGTCTATGCGCATAAGCCACAAACGCTTAACCATTTGGAAGACAACATTCGCCGTGCAATGGCCGATATACGGCCACAAATGTTGGCATCGAAAATTGGACTACATCCGAGCCAGCCGTGGCGGTCATATTGCAGAAATCATATTTAAAATCTAATGCCACAAGATTATCCTTCAGATAAATAAAATTTATGTCAATCATCATCGTTGATTTATTGCAATTTAAAGTTCTATATTTTTAAAAAGCACCCGTTATATAGGAATATAACTGCATATCTACAATATCTGAATTGGTTTTAGGTGATACAGACAACCGCCAACATCAGGGTGAACAAAACTATTAAAATCTGTAGCAACATGTTGCAAAAGTATAAAAACAAATGACGAGATGAAAAATAATTCTGAAATTTTCGAAAGCGGTGGTTGTAATAGTGCAATGGGAAACCAGAAGTACTAAGCAAATACCAATTCTGTAGCAGCTGCAACAAATTATTTTAGATATGTGGGATCACATAAACTAAATATGCATAAAACTCATACGAGGTGTGTTCAAAGGAAAGGGTGAATTTCGTCTTTTCGCGGGCTTTGTACATTTGATTATCGTTATTTTGTTTTTGCTATAATCGGACACATTGTTTATCATGGGCTTATATTAGGAGCCAAGGTTAATCATGTTTTTGTGTGCTCCTTGATTTTTGACTTTTGAAAGAAATGGATCAAAGAATATGTATTAAATTTTGCATTAAAAATGGAATAAAGTGCTCCAAGGCACTTAAAATGTTGACTGTTGCATTCAGTGAGTCCATTTTGTCTCAAAAAAGTATTTATAAGTGGTACAAGCGCTTTACAGAAGGCCGAGAAGATGTTGATGACGATGATCATCCTGGAGGTGCGACCACGTCAACAAGTGATGAAAACATCGAAACAGTAAAAAAAAATTTTCTAGAAATTCGTTGGATTACTATTAGGGAAGCTGCAGAGGATGTTAGCATATAAATCGGCGAAATGAAACGTGTGGCAGTCAAGTTTGTTTCGAAATTGCTAAATTTTGAGCAAAAGCAATGTCGCATTAGTACCGCTCAGGGGAAAAAATAGATATTGATGAATAAATAAGTACTTTTAAAAAAAATTCTAAATTCACCTTTTCTTTCGAACACACCTCATATACTATACACAAGTTATGCATATGTACTCGTATATACTCGAATCTACAAGTTATGACATATTTAATGTCGCCTGTAAACATTGATTAACTTTGGAAACGTTTTTCTATTTCGATTTCAATCGTAGGTCTCGATTTTAATGAAACATAACGGCTCAGTGATGATTTAGCACTACAGCTCAACTAATCATTGTTTTGTCATGAATTGGCATCATGTGAATATCGTATGCATTTTCTGTTCCCAAAATGAGGGAATTTCATGTATTGGTAATTAATACCTTTGATATGCTTTTTGTCTTCGTAGTTTGTCTTCGTGTTTACAGTGTTCGTAGTTAGATTTGCAATAAATTGAGGTTTCCAAAACTTGTCAACAAATTCAATCGGATAATGAATGTCGAAGTTATTCAGTGTTTACATACCGATTTAGAAGATGGCGCACCCTGTATATGTTATAATTTTCGTCCCAACACTTTACTTACCACAGGATTTGAGCCCATTTTCACATTCTTTGCCATATCCATCATGTCCAGCGCCAATCGGGCGATGCATTTAGCATGGTCTTCACAGTGATCTGGTAATCCCGACACAGCCATATACTTGTCGCCAACAGTCTCCACCTGCAATAAAGCGCATAAGTTAATGCGAAGAAGTTTGTAAAAGCAATAAAACTACAATCTTTACAATGTAAATTTATATATTTCAAATGACCTAACACAGTGCAAGTGCAAGCAGGCATCCGGACGCTTTGGGTAAGCGTTTCAGTGCAATAAGAAGTTTCCCGAAGATGCGGAGAAGTGAAGTCTACGTCGAAACATATATGTGAACATACATACAAATACATCGCTTCGTGGAAAACATAAAGTCGAGTGCATACAAAAGCGCAATTATTTTATGGCTGCCGTTAATGGCTGTGTTGCAACCGCAAGTGGTGGTCGTGTAAGTCGTGGGAGCCATGGATGCCGGCAGGTCGATTCATGTGCCCCCACAAACTTACACATATGTACATACACACACTTCCCGGACACTCTTACGAAGCGAACAGAAATGAGCGGCATTCATAAAGCCGTTGTGTACTTGCAACAATATAACGGTATTGTATGTGAAGTTAGCCTTTTATGGGTGTATGCAGTTTTATTTAGATTTTGCTTTTTTCACTCGAATGCACGACCCTGACAAATGACCCAGATTTTTGTTGGCAAAAAATTTCATTTGGCTTCGATTCTCATAATTTCCTCCGCAGCGCTAAGTGAGTACAACAGCCAGCCGGTGAAGGAGTGGAAAATTCAGTTAGTCGGTCAAGTGGGTGCTGTTGTGGAGGAAAGATATTGAAAATTGCAAGAAAAGCGAAAAAGAGTAAAATGTTGCATGCGAAAAGAGCGGTGTTGCATCAGCAATATGCAAGTGCGTGCTTGCGAAGGCGAGGAAGCGACCGTATGAATGAGCCGAACCGAAAGCTGGAGATTAATAAGTCCCACATCGATAAATAACTCCTTTTATGTTCTTCTGGAGCTGAGTGATTTTCATTTTCTTTCCTTTTTACAATTTATTTAATTTAATTCTTAATAAAATATTAAGAATTAAGATTTCTTTGTTATTAACCAATATGGGCTAAGGGCACAAGTTATAGTGTTATAACGTCACGTACCAAATTTGGTTAAAATTGGTCGCGCAGTTCCTGAGATATTGGATTTCACCTAAAAGTGGACGATGCCACGACTATTGTCAAATTTTCTCACCAAATTCTATAAAATCCTTCCCTACCATTCTGGTTGTGAAACTTAATGCTTGTGGCGTATTTATTCAGTGAGTTAATGCACTTTTAGTTGCTTTCAACATAACCGTTATATAGGGAGTTAGACTTTACCCATTTTCACATAGTTTAAAGAGGTGAAAAAATTACTTCTTCTCAGCAAGTTTGGTTGATACATCTTAAGCGGTATGGAAGATATGTACGGCGGAGCGGCCGGAGCCACGCCCACTTAAAAATTTTTAGCCCACAGATGTCCCTGACTGCTGCGATCTCCTGTAGTAAATTATAGTTTTGTATCTTAATTTTCGGCTTAGTTATGGCACTTTAAATGTTTTCGTTTAATGGCCTTTTGTGGGTGGTGGCAGTGGTCCTAGGGTGCAAAGGAAGATGTACAATAAGTTTCATCAAGACATCTCATAAATTTTTACTCAAGTTATCGGAGAGATAGTTATCCGGATTTTAACTCCTCTCGTCATCATGATCATTTATATGCATATTATCTTTGTATATAACTCGATATCTATCTAAGTTGATACAAACAACCCCTAGGTAAACAGAATTATTATACTCTAAAGCGACATGTTGCGAGAGTATATAAAACTTAAATATGTTGTATATACGTTCAAGATCTTTACAATGTCTTTCATCTGCTGTTTGAGACTTCGCTTTCTGGCTAGATCACCATTTTTTCGCGCCAAAAAATTATAAATTCCTCACATTTTGTTCAAATACTTGTACATCGTGAATTTCTTTTACCTTCACTATCACTACTTTGCCATTTGCTTAGGTTAAATAAGACATGTGCTCACAGGGTGGAGCCCTGAGACAGCTCGTGTATGCCAAAGTCATATGTATATACCTACATATGAGGTTGAAGAAGTGCAGGTATGGGTTGGTGTTAGTGTTGAGGAAGCTGCTGCATCTCAGGTCGTCTTGGCAGTAATTCGATGTGCTGTATTCTCGGGCAAATTGTGTGCTCTCTCGGGCGGTAACTTCACACTAGCGCCAAGTTAACGTGCCAAAACGCGTGTATGCACTTGTACATATATACTTGTACACACGACTTATGTGTACAGATGTTCTTACTTCCCAACATTATGTTTTTACTTGGTTATTGCTAATTCACTCAAGCATTTCGTTTCGGTGAGCTATTTATTCAGAAGCAGCAGGTATGCGGTTAGTCAGCTTCGCGTGGCTATGTCAAAATTTCAACGCTGACTCGCTGAGTGAGTTAGTCAATATATTAGGTCAATTTATCAATCACCGATGTAGGGTGCTTTTAATTAAAAATTTTGAAAACCATCTTTCGAAGCTTTTAATCTATCAATGTGCACCTTCACCAAAGCTAATTGGCAATTCCTTCAAAGAATTTAGTAGGTCACTTGCACTCGGAATAAAATCTTACCTTATAAACGTTTGGATTTCGCTTCGAGTCGGTTAGCGCATCAAACACCGTGTATAGTTCATTCAGCATTTTCACGATTTTCATTGCACCCTCAGCGTCAGTATTCTCAGCGCAGTATTTGCCAAAGCCCACGATTCCGGAGAACATCAGCGTTACCGAATCATAACTGCCACATAAAAAGCAACAAAAATTGAAAGTAAAAGCGCCGTCGTAAATACGAAACGCTTTATGTTCAACAATTAAGTACGTTAATTAATTACCGTTTAGGCAGCACGGGGCGTTGGTGCCGCAGCTCATTGGCCACCGATTTGGGCAGAACCGAGTAGAGAAGCCTGCAAAGTGATAATTTATGCTAACACACAATTTTCTTCAATTGAAAAGCAATTTTTTGTTATTCGCATCCATTTTATATAAATATCTTCAAATTTATCACTGCTGGTGTGGTTGCAATTTGATCTCGTCGCCCCTACTCACCTGTCCGTTTTCTGCTTTTCGCTTTCCAAATCTCTGTAGGTTTGTTGCAGCTTATCGGTAAGCAACTCCAGATTCTTTGTCAATTTATACTCAGCCTCGAATTTTTCAGAGAGCAGCACCAAATCTCTGGTGGCGTCGTGTAGCGGAACATCGGAAATGTAGAGACCCTTTCTGCAAGAGAAATCGCGGAGAAAACATGTAAGTAAAATGAATGCTGGTTCGCTCTTATTTTGGCGGTCGCTTTAATTGTTTGTGTAGTGTTTTGTAAATATTTTAAAGGTTTTCTTGTACCGAACCGTTATGGCGCGAGCGAGAAGCTGTTTCAGCCACAATAATTGCTAAACAAAAAGCAGAATTTCGCTCTCGTTCATAAAACGGCACTTAAAAATGGTTCAAAGTGCTAGTCAAATATTCAGTATTTTGTTGAGACATACGGATGGTGATGGAAGTGCACCGTTACACATTGCTTTGCAAAACGAATTGCTGGGCCACACATACAATGCCTGCTGCCTACAAGCCAGGGTTTCTAGAGCTCGTTTACGTAGGAGCTGTGCGACTTTGTTCATCAACAACTTCAGCTTCCTTGTTCGCTCATTATTTGAGTCGTAAATTTCGCTTTTAATTTTGTTTCTATTGCTCTCGTTTACGGTACAGCTACAAGCAATTCCACCAAAATGTGGAAACATCTGCCCCGCATTATTAGCAATACCAATCATTTATTGCTGGCCAAATAAACGGTACTTCCACTTAAATCACCACATCAGGTGATGAATGCTTTTATGACACATATTGAATCTAATACGACATTATTTTTGGACGTTTGCCGTATAAGATAAGATCATTGAGTTATAAGGACATTATTGCATAATTTGACTTCGTATAAAGTATTTCCTTAAACTATTACGGTTAACTGATGAAGATTTAAAAAGCTGATATGTTTGTAAAATTAACAAACGCTCGACAAGATAAACCAGTGTTGCCACGAAGAGAAATCAGCACAAAATATCAAAGAGTTGACCGCGAAGTAGCCAAGCCGAACTGCCAATTGCCTGGTAAAGTATATTGTGCTATAAACATACCCTTTCTTGTTGTTTTTTTGTACATATGTTTTTGCTATTATTTTTTAAAAGAATAATGTACCAGGTTTTACTGCCACAGCTTCTGTTGCCGCGGTGCCGGCGCTTATTCTCTTAAGTTGCGTTCTGTTGAAGACAGCAACAAACCAAATTTGATTTTGTAGAACACAGCATCTGACAAAGTAAGCCATTGAAGGCATTCAAAGCGGCCTTTATGCGCTATGTTTATGTTTTTTTTTACTACGTATGGCGGTTCACAGCTTTGAAGATGTGTACAAGTAAAACATGTGAACATTGCACATATTCCATGCAAATAAGGCATGCCTTTAGGCGCTTTATGGCACTTTGTGGTGTGTGCAGTCGGTTGAGGAGTAACAGATGGGGATATAAAAGTCTATATATATCTTTGTGTTGTACTAGACATGTTTCGCTTGTTGTGAAGGTGTGTGAAATTTGATATGAATTTAAAGAAGCTTTGTGAGTTCGTTTTCTAGGAGATTGTGTGGAATCGCTGTTTTGAAAGTTAAAAATTGTAACAAGTATTCCTTAAATCCGCCCCAAAGAAATATATTTTGCACAAAGTGGGACTCTATCGTGATAAATTTCTCCGATAATTCTTGCAATTTATTTCAAGACATACTTGTGACTCGTAAAACCGTTAATAACTTATGGTAAGAATGAATCAACAACAGTAAATAGTTTTGCACAGCTTGTTTGCCCTCGGTTTTGCGAATTCTTGCCTTAATAACATTTCTCTTTCGAGCTGTGAAAACTTGGCAAATCATAAAAAATTTACACATGCAGTTTGGGGTGCTCACAACGTTATTTACGTAGAATAAAGGAGTTAAATAACTTCAAGTAAGAAAGCGCTAAGCTTGGGTATAACAGGGCATATTATACTTTCGCAATTTGCTAGGATCAAAGCCGACGAAGTAACTTCAGGTGCTGGCAAAACTTTATATTAAAAAATGTTACGAAAGAATCTAGCATTCATTATTCAAAGAAATCAGGAATAAATTACAATCAAATTTGGTATCTTCTTTACTTATATTGACCAATTTCAATCTTATTCAACGCTAAACCATGTTATGTTTATAAAAACTTGAAATATCTCATATATGGTATTGACTAACATAAACGGCTTGGACATCCTTGTGCATGAATTTGTGGCATTACTTAAGTATATTCAGGAACAAATTTCCAGAAATTTTACGAGAACACACACACTGACCGGCATATGCTAATATAACGAAAATTATTATACTCTATGTGTGTTAATCTCAGATATATTTCAACAGTTATAGAACTGAACGTAAGTCCACCAACACTTTGTATGATAAAACTATTGATTGATGAAAATTATTTTGTTACATAACAGTTCATAAAGTAATTTATTTTAATTATAATACTACTTACTTTGTCAAATCATCCAAATTCATGACGCTGGGATAGCACTGAAACAATATACGATCGGACTCTGGTATGTACATCATTTGACCCTGAAAGAATTCAATTGATCAACGGATTAGTTAAACATAGACGAAATTGACATTCGAAATTATATTATTGTATAAACAATTTGGAAAAGAAGCACGGTTCGGGTGAGCAGGATGGTTAAATGAGAAACTATAAACTTATTTGACGGAATCTTCACTATATGAGGTATATATGTTTATGCCTTGGGCAAAATAAACTACCAGTACTATATTATCAGAGCAATTACACCTTGCAACTTAAAACAGTTTCTGTTAGAAGGTATTGGAAATTGTAAGGCGGATTCTTCGGAAATTCTCCGAATCAAATGTCGCGCTATGCAGCACTCACCTTTAGCCTCAGGTACCGTTCATGCTTGCCCATTGCCCCTTGACGCGTCTGCAATACGTAAATCGTGTTGATGTGCGACAAAATGTTTTCGAAGCTTAACTGTAAATGCGGACGTATGGCCTCGAGTACCTCCAATATGGAACAGTTTTCCACCGCAACTCTATAAAAGCATTGGGCAATGAAATTTTTAAAATAGCATATGAAACGAGAAATAAACTAAAAGTATGTACAACATGTATATGTATTTGTGTGCGTGTCTTTTGTGATGAAGTTTGTAGTATGTCACTGCTACATATTGCTTCATAGTTTATTGTGCACATTGTTGTTGGTGTTGTTGTTTGTGTTATCGTATTTACCTTGGAATGACGCGCGAAACGGATTTGCCGGCCTGCACAATTTTCATTTGTCGATCGAACATCAAGTGGAATGGGAACACCTTGCAGAATGTGGCGGGCGAGATAAGCGGCGCTATGTTCCGTGGTTGAGTGAACATGAATAAAGGTGAAAAAATAATATTTATCTGTGCTATTATTTGCTATTGGAAATTCAGTCAAATATTGTTTTAAACGAAAAGCTTTATGCAGCATGCCACATTCATACCGAGTATATTAGACATTGTGCTTTTTAAACCAGATGAGTATTTCGATTAAACAAAATCGAAAAAATTTTAATGAAAATTAATGATAAAAGTTTTAATTTAATGACAGCTTCGATAATATTTTATGTGCGACTGAAATAAATTTTGACGGTCCTAAATAATTTTTTTTTATAAGTTTCGTAAGGTTTTTGGTAGACATTAACATTTTTTATATGTAAAAATTTTGCAATGAAGTAGTGCATCGTTAATTGTAAGCCTACTATACTCCGGCATAAAGGTATGTTGGTAACTCAAAAATCGATAGCTGTCGAATATATGTATGTGTTTTTTAGGCGTTGGCTATCTATCTTTAGCTCGTACTTGAAGACAAGATAGAAGGAAAGAGAATATTTTGTTACAATAGCGAGAGGAATACGAATTTGAAAATTGAAATCAAAATTATTGTTACAATGCCAAAATCAATGCACACATAATTTAACTGGAAACTTAAACCACATACAAATTTTGCTTCAACATTAATCACTCCACATACATACACACACAGACAAACGGGTGGAAAATAAAGTAGAAATCTTTATACAAACCAAATGAATAGCAAGCATAGGACAAGCAGAGTATAAGTTACCATTACTATTACCATTAGCACACCACCCATTACAGGTATGTAGCATCGTAATCGTCTTCACTCAAAATCAATATTGTATACATATGCATGTTTGTTGAATAAATTTGGAATATATAATTTTGCAAAATATTGAATTTTACATCGACATGGCAAACAGCAATTCATATCTATGCAAGACGCTCCGATTGTAACCAATTTACAAACTATTTTAAGAGCCAATTCAGTGCTCACCTTCGCTTATAAAATACACTTCATCCGGCAGATCAATCTCTTTGCTAGTGCTTGTACACACTGAATCTTCCTCACCTTCACACAAAAAGTCTATCTCATCCGGCGGCTCCTTGGCCTCCTCTCGGCACATGGCTATCGCGCGCTCGTCCCCGCTCGCCGACGAGGCTAGCGATGTGGTGGCCGTTGTTGTAGCGTTGCCCGCACCCGCTGTACCATTGCTGCTGCTGGCGCCGATTTCACGAATTAGAAACTGCACATGATCGTAGCGTTCGATGTCGTCGCTCTTGTTTTTGAGCAAACGCAAACATTTCTGCTCCTGTTTGTCGGGGTCGCTGTCGAAACTATCCGCCTGCTTGCCGCCGCTACTCATCGACGAGGCCGAGTGGGATTTAGTGCGGCCAAAAGGACAACGAGCTGTGGAAAGCATGAATTGGAGATTCATGTGGAAGATAAGTAAAATATGAATTAAGTCTGTTGAGTACATGGTTGTTGTTGTTGGGTAGATGGTTGAAATTAATTGATTACGGTATAGAAGATTTCATTCGAAATGGATTGGTACGTGCCGTCCCTGCAAAGCTTCTGCATATTTGCATTTTGCCGTGTATGTGCTGTGTTGTGTGCGACTGTGTGATTGTGTGTGAAATTGAGCCATTTGTTGGCCTGATTCAATTAAGCCATAAATATGTGGAAATGTGTCTCGAGTAAAGTGGAATTTTCTCACATTTCTCGTTTGCATGCTTTTGTAGTCATTTAACTCGGGGCTATTAGATTACTCACATCCCCTATGTACTGTATGTTTGTTTTTGATGTTGCTTGGTGTTGTCTGGTGTATCCCATTGGTGTTTGTATGTATGGCTTACCTTGCTTTTTATTGCTAACATCTGCGGCTGATAACACCACCACATCATCGTCATCATCCGCATCGGTTTCGTTGTTATTGTTATTGCTGGCATTATTATTGGTGTTATTGTGATTGTTATTCTCTTCTGGTAGATTTTCAGTTGGTATTGTGCTACTTGATTGCTGCTGCTGCTGTTGTTGTTGTTGCGTAAACACATCCGTGCGGTCTTCTTCATCGATGGGATCACCTTTCCGTTTGACGATCTCAATTTCCACCTCGACGCCATGCAGTTTGGATGCCACCGCCTGGAACGATTTGCAGAGTGAGATAACGTACACAAGCTCAGCAAATCACATACACTAATGAATTAGTATATACTCGTATAGTAGTAACAGTCTATGCTTATCTGAAACTATCTTTACTATTTCGGAAAATGTACGATAAAGTTTATTTATGTACTTGGAGACAGTTTGCAGTAGTTGCAGGAGATAAGCGCTTGTATTTGATATTTCTTGGAGAGAGAGAGAGAGCAATAAAAAAGTTCTAGTTTTGAACTATTAGATGACAACGAAATGCTGTTTTTTTTAGGATATGAGATAAATGTCGTCTTATGCATTAATTTTTTCGTTTCGGTTTTTCCCTAGAACCCTTTGATCACTTAATTGAAAGATGATGTGACTCAAACTCTAGGAATATCAAATATTGAAGCACTTTCGTAAGCACGCAGGTTTTTCAATTTCGATAGGATTTAATATAAGCGTTAATGCTCTTTCGTTAGGCCAAATTGGGAGAATTTTTAATGTGGTTTTAGGTCTTCCTTTCAGGCTAACAATATTTCTTGCTGTCTCCAAATTTTTACCATAACACTTTTGTTACCAATTATTCAGTAAATGAGGTAATGTCTCTTTTAGTAGAACTAAAATCGGGTTAGTACCTTCTATAGTCATTAAGGACTTTTTTACAAACTACTCCACAACACTGACTGTTGTTTCTATTCTGTTACATTTCAAGTTATAATATGCATTTGGGTTGCAGTTAAATCACCTTAACAATACCAATCACGATGTGCTCCAAACCGGGACGTTCTGAGTAGTAATGTAACAAGAGTGAGCCATCCTTCTCAGTACAACGAAATGAAGGTGCCCTCATTCCGGGGTAAAGTGTGCCCAGATGGTCATGCAGCGCATCCAAGTTCTATTGAAAATAGTAAAAGTACATAAGAAAAGTGCGAAAAGTTAAATTTTTGAATAATATGTTTACGAATGTGTTGGAATCAGTTGAGGGAGGTAATAAAATGCATTAATGAATGGACACTTGAAGTGAAATTACAATAAAATTCAATTTAAATTTCCATTATGGCGAACTGGTGATCCACTGAGACCGTGTGTGGCATGAATAGCGGTGGTGATAAGGCGCTATAAGTCTACGGTCTGTGCGTTGCTGTGTCTAGCTAGCGTAGGAATCGAATTGACTGATGACAAATGACAGGAAGTGTGGAACTACCGTTACAGTATTGGTTTTGCGGTTTCACACCGACAGAAGCATGAAGAGAGGAAGAAGAAGTAGCGGGTAATTAAGCAAGTATAGTTGGTGGATCCAAGGTGGATGTAGCACAGACGCAGCTGTACTTAAATCAATTCTGAAGATGCGAAAAATTACATTGAAATGAAAATAAAATATTCAACTCCCGTACAGGAAGGGTATGTCAACATTAATCGCAAATTAAAAATTATAGAAGTGTACGTTCAATATTCCCACTCACAGTACTATTCAAAGTATAAGCAATTTGCAACAGCCCAGATATTACAAAAAAATACCATTGAAGAAAATAAACAAGTTTTTTATAAAATCTAGTTGTTGGGTTGAATAAATTTATTCTATACATAGTCCCCAAAATGTTTCGAACTAAAATTTTCATATCCAAAACGTACCGGACTTATATCTAAAGTAAGTACTTATTTTCGATTTACAGACATTGGATTTGTTATGGTCATTAAATACAACTTGTTTCGATTTTCAACGTACTATAGAAATACATAGAAAAAGATTTTTCGAGCGACCGATTCCTGAAATGCAAAGCAAAACGTCCAAGGTTGTGCTAACACGAAACCATTTTCCACAAAATCCCATTACCATTTTTGGTGTATTTAATGGGTTTAACATATCTCACTTTTTTATTATCTCTTTTGAATTTTATATCGTTTGTAAAGGGAAAAAGAAGGAAGATAAGTTAAATTAGTGAGTGGTAGGCGTTCGCTTGTGAAAATAATGAAAAATGGTGGAGCTGATTAACTATTTTTTGTCTACTTACCTGTAGAAAGTCGCGCGGTGTGGCGCCCAACACTTGCAGAATTTTGTCATAACCCGAATCCTGGCAAAACTCGAAAAATGTCTTACCAAAGAGCTCTAATATATCGTCGGCTGGTATATCTAAAGGAGCGAAATGGAAAAGCGACAAAAAAGCAAAAATATAAAAATTTGGTCATTATCTACAGCTCTTATTGTTAGAGCTCGTAAGCGAAAGCGCTTAATTATGCATATCAGCGTATATGTACACCATTGCAATTTGTAAGTAAATATATCAGTATGTATGCAGGTCTTGTATGTAGGCAGTCTGTACTCACGTAATATCTCCACCGCTGCGCCAATGAGATTGTAGGTGATTTCATCGTCATATGTTTGTCGCACCAAAAACTGACCTTCCATGCTGACCATCGCTTTTTTCCTGCGGATGAAATAAACAATAAAGCGTAACGTGAGAAAGGATATTTAAAAGTGAAAGTGAGATAAAAATAATTTTTAATTAAAACGCGTTTCTGCCTTTCATGTTCTGCGCGACCTTCCTCACTCCTGCACATACACACTCTCACACGCATGCACGAATGTGTGCAATACTCAGTTGTATGTACAACGAATGCAGCTTGTGCACATTTAATATAGTTTAAGTACTTATCAAAGGGTTAATTAAGTTTTTTGTTTTGTTGGTTTTGGTTCTGCTTGGTGAAAAGTTCTGAGCAGAGTGCTGAAGAACTTAATTAGGCAATTATCCGATATGCAGTTGGTTAATTCGGCGAGAGAACTTCTAAACTTTAAGCTCAGTAAAGCGCATCGATATTTTAATAGTGTCATCATTTAAAAACTTGAACAGAACAGTAAGTTTTTTTTATGTGAATGCAAATGGGGTAAACTGTCGCTGTCGAACATTTATTTATATTTTTATGTGTTTGCTATATTTGTCATTATTCTTTAAAGAGCACGGCACGAACAACAATGCGCTCGAGACGATTAAATCAAATCAAGAATAATATCCGTAATTTTTTTTAAATGGATATAACCTTGGATAATAAGGAGTAGTTATGAATAAAGAAGAGGCACGAAAAACAAAATTTAAATCAAGTTAATTTGTTAACGTTGAAGCATAACGGCACTTGTGACTTGTAAATGGGATGGTAATAATACGGCTTAAGCGCTTAAATGTATGCTGTAAATTAATTCGCACCATTGCTAGTTAGCTTCGCTGCAACTTAACTTTCTCAAATGTGTTAAATATTAGAGTAAGAAAACGAATTTTTAATGGGTCTGAAATTTCAATGAATTTCTGAAGTTCTCTCAGTGAAGACTATGAAGACGGATGTAAGAAAATATTGCAAATACATTAGTGCACCATGTATGTGTAAGCTGTCTAGTTGCTTGTGCCTGAAAACTTTTCTGGCAATGTGAGAAATCGTGCTCTAAAAGTTTTAATTTTGTAATTCATCATCACTCATTGTGCTGTGCGAAGCTTTTTGGTGCTTGCTCGCATGTGTAATGATGATTAATATATATTCCAAGTATTAAATTTGGTAGAAAAATCGATGAAATTCAGAAAGAAATGGGGAAGCGATGTAGAGAACGTAACAGTATTTCGATACGTGTGGCTACCACTCGATTATCTCTGCGCAGCATTGTTTTTGTAAAATTCGAGTCGTGACTTTAGTTGTGCTCGGGCAGTAGTGACGAATGGAAATATTTAAACACAATCGTGTTTGAAAAACGTTATTCAACGGAATCGAGGATGCAATGACGGAGATGCTGCAGACATTTGTTGACTTAGGAAATCAATCACGGACATAGCTGTGTAATTTATACCGTCAAACCTACATCTTTAGGTAATTACCTACATATGGTAAGTATATATGTATATGCATTCCCGCCATTTTAGACTCTGCCCACCGCTCTTTCAATATCCTTACAAAACGAGGTGACTGCTCGTCTGAACTGTGCTGTTCATTGTGGTTCCACCACAGAAAGTTAAACCCAGCAGCTCCGCCCACTCGCTTCACACTTTCTGCATTACCAAAGCTTTATAATCATTATGCCATCTTTCCTTTCCACCATTTTGTGCGACCATTTTTTTCAACGGTTGTGTGCCCAGTTGGTGGTCCAAAGATCTGCTTGTCGTTCGATAACTAGTCTGTCCGTCTTTCGCTTTGTTGTTCGTTTGTCATTGTCATCGTGCCATTCGTTCGAGCAACGGCGCTTGCCAACGTGTTAAATGAGCCAGGAAATTCAATGTGAACAAAATAGATTATATATATATCGTATTATATATATGTGTGTGTAATAACATATATAGTGCTTTCTATTCACTTTTCAGTTCGCTTGAGTTTCAGTGAATTAAAGTAATCGTCCATGCACATGTACTCACACACACATACACATTTTTCATATATATTTAGGAGTGTATTTCTTGTAGCCGCTTGTTGGAGATTTAATTTAAATCGTTTTGGTTGATGAAATGAAGGAAATGAAAAGTGAAGAAGTGTCCTAAATTGATCGCAAAAAATGTGATTTGTAAAATTGTACAGATTTATGTCATTGCTGGGTTTACGGTGCGCCTATGTGTGGTAGTGATTGGCTCGGTTCAGCTGTCGATTTTGCTAGAGCATTCGAGACTTTGATTAATTTGTTTTGAAACTTAACAAATGGCTTAATTAGCTAACCGAGGGGGCACACTGCGTGTTTATTGTTTATCCATAATGCGTAAATTACACTCAGTATTTTGTCTTTTATTCTTTCTTGTTGTTTAATATGGCACAAAGTGTGGATTTAAAAAATCTGGCAGCTATCAAGAGCAATCCGGATGTTAGATTTCGCCTTTTGTCATTAGAAATATTTAAATCTTTAATTATGAGAGATTATATCTTTCCAAAACCTGTTGTGGAGTACAAATTATACAAATATTGACAGTTATCACGGAAAATGTATTTTGAAGGCATTTATTTTCAGCGAAAAGCAATATACAGATATTAAATATAAATTACTTTAAGACACATTTTTTACGCAAATAAAATACAAACGTGAAAATTAAAATGTTAACACTTAAGAAAATGATCAAATTCAAATTCACCAAGCATAACTGCGATTCCATTGCATTTCTCAATGACACTTGTCATAAATTGCCACCAATAATTATTCAATCACGGAATGCCTCAACTGTATATGCTAAATACCGTAGCGACTAGGTGTGGCGCCACATATTTCGCACGCAATGCCGCATGTTTAAGTGCGCAGAGCTTAAAAACTTCACAAACGCCGTTGGCACAGCCGTCATTCCGGCACGCAGCGCAATCCAGTTATCACAGCAAAAACACCAACAACTGCAGCGATTATTGCTACTGACAAGTTCAGTGAGATGACAGCTGCCGCTTGTCGGCATATCTGCTGTCGCTGACACACCTTTCCACCTGCAATTTTCCACAGCTTCTGTAGATGATAGCGCGAGGCACACCTGTCATTCGCACACAAAATTTTCCGCTTAGCCAACCCAACCGGCTGCTTCATCGGATATGCAATTGGGGAATTTTGGAAAACTTTGTGGAAAGTGGTGCGTGCGAAAATTTCCCAGTGCAAATATATGAATATATGTACATACATAAAGAGAAATACACAGGTAAATTGGGTTTCTTTGAGAAAGTACTTAAAAATCTACCAATCGTGACTATACAAGGAGGGTTCTAAAGTAAACAGGACTTTAAAAAAAAAAGACAGAACAAATGGTTTTATCGGCAAAATCAATTAATTTTATTCAAAATAGTCTCCTTCTGCTTTAGTACAGCTTTTTGCATGGTCCAAAAGCATGTCGAACGAGTGTTTTAGCTCGTTGCCCGGTATGGCCGCCAGTATGCCGGTGCAAGCCTTTTGAATGGTCTCCACGTCTGCATAACGCTTTCCTTTCATCGGCAAATGCCTTTTTTCGAAAAGGTAGAAGTCGCACGGTGCCAAGATGTGATTTTTGGTCAAATAATCAGCCACAAGCGTCGATCGATGAGACGGCGCATTATCGTGCAACAAACGCCAACTTACTTTTTCGCGATATTCGGGCCGAACACGTCGAATACGGCGCACCAAATGCTTCATAACTCCAAGGTATAATACCGCATTAACGTTTTGGCCGGGTGGAACAAATTATTTGTGGACAATACCCTTGGAATCATAAAAACAAATCAGCATTATCTTCACATTTGACTTCTCCAGGCGCGATTTATTGGGTTTCGGCTCGTCCGGCGCCTTCCATTCAGCACTCTGGCGTTTCGTTTCGGGATCATATTGAAAACACCAAGTTTCTTCACCAGTTACAATCTTGTAAAGTAAGTTCGGGGCTTTTTTGCCTCTTTAATGATGTCCTTCGAATGTTGAATTCTGAGCAATTTTTGGTCGACAGTCAATCACCGCACCGATTCGCACCGATGACAAAAACATACTGACACTTAAAACACAATAACTTCACTTCCAATATATGAAATGTCATGAAATTTTTACTGGAAGTCGATAAAGAATAGCAGATTCTAACGCACTAGTCGACATATAGATGACGCCACTAGAGTTTACTTTGTTACTTTTTTACTGTTTACTTTGGAACGCACCTTGTATTTATGAACTAACTTGAGAAATTTTTATTGTGCAACGTAAGGCCAAGTCGTAGCGGCAAATAGTTAGTTTTCTGAAAAAAAAGGATAATTACTGGTTCAGCAGGGAAGAAATTAATTTATGAAATTTTTTTGTAGATGTCGCACAGCAAGATTTTCACTTTTCAACTCCTTATTTGCTGAATATAGTAAAACAAATCCAAATATAACTATTGTACTTATATTCTCAGAAGAAAGCACTTATTATGATACTCAAAAAGGAAATTTTCTTTATATTATTAATTCACAACTGAGCAGACAGAGCACTAAAACGCGTTGGCTTAATGCTTGGAATAACGGTGATGGCTTTAGGAATGCAACACACTAATGTTTTTAACTTGCATATGCATATTTAAATTAAATGGAAATGGCAATAGCTGGTGGAACTTTAATGTGCCCACCAACTATTGCTATTTTCATTTCCATGGGAACATATGCTTAAATGCATAAGGATACTTTATATTTTATCTGCGGATATAAGCGATTCTTTTATGATTTCATTTAAATGTGAGTGAACAAATATTTCCGTATGAATAACTTAGCCGCGGTGCTTGACAAGCAAATTTGCAATAGAGCAAAGCAAGCAATATTATTAGTGTAGAATCACAAATCAGCGAAGCGTACCGGTTGCGCTAGAGCGGTACACCTACTACCCTGCTGGAAACGTGGCGCAGTTGTAGAAATGGTATAAAAACAAGATAAAGTTGAAGGTAAAAACCAAGATTTAGAAAAAAAATATAACAATGGGATGCAAACTTCGTGCTCTGTTAGCAACATA